AAAAATTTTTACATTTTGCTGTTTGTCCGTTAGTTCTTTAAACAAAGGGATTTCACAAATAAGAAATTTAAAAAATTTTCTGTTTTATATTAAAAAATAGCGGGCTATAGCAAAATCCAAACCCCCCCCCCCCTCCCTATGGCCAGGTAGTCGGCGAAACCAATAACAAGTACTATATACACATTGGACAAGAGCCCATCAAAGACCCAGAAAATGACGTACAAAACTCCCGCAAATAATGCAAACAGCGTATGCTTCCAATCAAAGCCAAAGAGACTCAATCCTGATGCAACGGTGCCAGATGCGCCCGCTCCTCTGAACCCCCATCTTCCGTACGAACACGCTGGTAGACCCGGAGTCGCCAGCCACGGATGACCAAATAGGATGCCATGACAGCGAAAAACAGACAAAGAAGCAGAACGAAAGAGAAAACACCGCCAATGCTGCGGATAGCATTGTATGTGTGATTGAGGACTTGGGTGGTCTTCTCTGTTTGGGTCTCGATTGCATCCGATGACATCTGGCCAGAGTCGCCAACCGCCTTGTCTTCTGCTGCGCTATCGCTTGCCTGGTATACGATCGATGGGTCGGCCGGAATAGGTGGGCTTGATTTCCCTTTGTATCCGACAGATTTCCAGTCGGGGGACTTGCTTCGGTGCATTTCCGACCTGCCTAGGACGGTGCCGTTGACATCTACTGCCTCGACAGACACCCAGTCCAGATATCCGCGGGCAATGTACATGGTTTCGAAATCGGATCGGGAGGTATTGCCGATAAGGACAGGGTCGTGGAATTCGGAGGCTTGCGCGTAGAACCTCCACCATGCGACATCCGTCGCGCCATTCCAGCTGACCCAGAACGTGGTCACCATGTTGGTCGCATCCGTGCCGTAGACCGACGCCACCATGTCTGGTGGGGCCGTGGGACGACCGGTGAATTCAAATTTGTATCCGCGGTATGATGAATAGCGTGAGGAGGTGAAGTTAGCGGTCATCAAGAGTTCGCCATCGGCGGCATACTCAGAAATATAGCCCTCTTTGCTCCAGCAAGTGAACACATTGTCGTTCGGAAGCAGCTGAGTATTGCCGCGGAGTCTCGAGAGCTGGCCATCGGGGCGGTTGTAGCGCCGGATGGCTCTGGCGGTCATGGGCCTCGCGCCGGTATCCAACTCGACGAACAGGGATGATGATATATTTTCCTCATTGAATTCCTCGTCCGAGGCATTGTTCAAAAACGAGATGATATGGTGTGTCCCATTCGACTCGATGAATTTCGCGTCGTGCTGCTTCGAAAACGTGAAATCTTGCTCGAAATCACTGTATTTCCCACCCAATCGCCACATGATATTTCCATCCATGCAGGAGATGAGGTAGATGGTGTTCGCAAACCGTGACGAGATCAGGTAGTCCCCGATTTCATTCTTGTCGACTGAGTTGATATGCACATAATCCCAGCCAGGATGTCCCTCCACTGGGGAAAACTGGTTGTAATGCACAGTTTCGGGCAAAGGAATGCGCTTATAAGAATCCCACGACTGGATAACCTCGGCGGTGTTCAGATCAATCTCAGCATACCCGCCGGTCTCAAGCCAGGTAGTCTCTGTCGGGCGACCGAAGTCCTCCAGGGTAACCTCATGAGAAAGGTAGACCGTGACCAGCGCAGTCTTACCGTCGTCCAGAATATTGAACTCGTGGATGTCAAAAGAGCCAAGGTCCTTTCGCAAAGGAAGCTTTCGTTGAACTTGATAATCGTTGGTCAAGATCACCCCGTACCCGGTGTCTATTGCCGGATCCCACGAGTTCTGCAAGACCATCGAGAGGTGTGGGTCCGGGCCTAGGCTGTTGACGACTTTGAAATCGAACACGTTTCGGTTCTCGAACTGTTGCGAGCCAGTCCAGATAAGGCGCTATTATACCGACATATGGTCAGCTGTCGGGATCTGTATCGCGGGGGACTGGTGTAAACGCACTCCTTCACCATCGTAGATATGCGGTCCGATTTGATATTGCTCGTACAAGGTCGACGGTGGGTCGGGGCCGATGTGTAGATAAGGAGCGACGAACCAGTAACCGGGGCTGACGCGCTCGCGGTTCTGGTACTGGACATTGAATTTCACTGCCCGAATATCGGGGAGCTGGAGAACACGGTGTCAGCGATCATACAATTTCAAGTTGTGGGATGTTAGACACGAACTGTAACGAATGACATGAGATCGTCGCTGGAATATTGCGCCAGCGCGGTTTGGCACAGCCATGACAGCCATGACAGCCACGATAAGCACAAAAACAGCATTCTTAACGAGCGTGGTATAGGGAAGTCATGAAGAAGAGAAAAGGAAGGGGCACCATCGCTGGGGTCTAGACAAGGCAAGATATGTGCGGATCGCAGGAGACGCCCAGTCCCGTGGGCGAATGGTAGGGGCAGGAGGGCCAAACAAAGGCGGTTATGATTGGATCATCTGACGCAGCGAAGGGGGTGAAACGTGAAAATGTGGTGCTCTTTCCCCGTCAGGCTCTATAAAGATCTTCAAGTGGACCGCAAATCCATGAGGCCTCGTCAGCACTTCTCGGCTGTCGGTAATAATCGCCGTCTACAGGGCGACAACATTGAAAATGGACTATAAAGTTGTTAGCTTTAGACCCCGATTTTGCTAGCGCCCTCCAAATTTAGCTAAATAAGCATAATTCTCCGAGTCTTGATTTTGATTGTGTACATACTTGGCACTTCATAATGGGTTGCATTTCCAGGGGCTGACCGCCTTGGATACTGCCATCACGGCTCCAACCGCCAGTGCGCCGTAGTTAACTCAATCATCCAAGGCTATATGGAGGGCTTGCCTCAGCTTGGCATATGCTTGTTGAGGGTATGATGTGGGTATCAGCCATAGAGCAATTAATAGACCAGGTGGTCTCGCTTTATGGTAGTGACTCCAAATAGCTTATGTTGTTGCTAGATCAGGTGATCTCTCAATTGCAATGGCACCCAAGCAAAACTTGCACCTTGACGTGATGTTCAGGATCAGTAGCCTTCATGGTGAAACTGAACAGGTTATGTATTGAATGGGTCATCTTGATGATGTGTAATTCTCTTTCTTTCTACGGTGGCAATTTCAATTATATGTGGTATCCACTTACTATGGACACATAATTGTGGATATCATATCCGATACTCGACCATATATCCAACATTGGTATTCGACGAAGAGTACATAACACGCCGATTGCTAATGTTTGATAGACAAATTCGGAAATATAGAATCGATGCAACGCACTCTCTCCTAGCTAAGGTTGTGGCCGTTGACTATGAAGTATGGCATTGAGTTCCTGACAAGTTACAACCAAGCTCAGTTTCAGCAAAAGCAAGATTCCATGCCTGGGTCGTGGTGTAATCATGATATAAAGTTAGTTGGAGCAAGCTTATGCCGACTTTCCCGACGACCCGATTGGCCTTGCTAATGCTTAGCATGTCCATGTGTGAATTGCAACCTTGGCTAAACGTTTTTTTTTTTTCTTGTGAGATGTTGGCATATGTTAATTGTCTCACGGTGACGTATCTGTGGTAGAGCTATCAAGGTACGTTATGTGAAGCTGTCTGGCAAGTATAAAAAGGCCTTGCCTAGTAGGCATTTCCAGCATAACAAACAGCCTTTCACTATCTCCGTCAGAGTTGCCTACGTTCATCACACTGTCATAAACCACATTTACCGTGGACATCGAAAATGGCCTCCTTAGCAACCGCCCCATCGGTTCTTCGACATGCAATCCGCATTCCCACAGGCTCGCTCCGAGCCCGTATCCCAAAGATAGGCACTACAACAATCACCCTACCACGAAGTTATGCAACAGCCGTTGATCCCGCAACACACGTGCCCTCTGCCAAATACAGTTCCCCCGCAGTTCACAAAATGCTCGGACAATCAATCCTCAAATGGCTCCCCGACGAAGAAGTAAAGTCTCGAATCGAACTTGCAGCCGCCTACCGCCTCTTTGAACTCAAGAACTGGAACGAAAACATCTACAACCACCTCACCGCAAAGGTCAAGGAAGAAGATGGCAGCGACTCGTTCCTCATCAACCCGTTCGGTCTCCGATACGGAGAAGTCACGGCATCAAGTCTGATCAAAGTCGGCGCGGACGGCAAGATCAAGGACCACGGTGTGACAGGAGACACGTTCGGTATCAACGACGCCGGATGGGTAATCCACAGTGCCATTCACCGCGCTCGGCCGGACGTGGCAAGCGTCATGCACTGCCATTATCCCCCTGCGACAGGACTGGCGTGCACTAAGGATGGACTGCTGGAGTTGGCGCAGACGACGCACCAGGCTGGCCCTGTTAGCTACCATGACTACCAAGGTATCGTGACGAACCGCGGGGAGCAGAAGAGTCTCGCTGAAGATCTTGGCTCGACTGATACCATGATTCTTCGGAATCATGGTGTCATCACAGCTGCAGAGACAATTAGTGCTGCTTGGTATTTGATGTATGAATTGCTGGCTGCTTCTGAGATTCAATCTCATGCGTCGGCGTGTGCGCTTGGGGACAAGGGGAACCTGATTCAGCCAGAGGAGATCAAAATTGAGAGAACTTGGAATGCCACCCGAGAGAAAGGGTTTTCGGGGTCTAAGTTTGGACTGAAGGAGATGTCTGCTTATATGAGGCTTTTGGATCAGAAAGACCCTTCTTATAGGATCTGATATGCTCACTTGTAAAAGAAGGAGAAATCTAAATAATATTCCGGATAGCATTACAAATTCCATATTTTGGGTCGCCAACACACCCCAATGATGTGAAAAAGAAATCTACTAGTCAGGGGAGAAGTCTTGTAAGGAAACCACAGTGAAAATAATATGAATAGGCCTGATTGATACGCAGATACTGATTAATGATTGAAGTGTCTAATCGGAATCTTAGAAAAAAGGCGAAATTCATATATTTTTTATATACAGCAGGTCTACCAACCCGAATATTATACAAAGCCATTAGGGAACCAAACTATCCCACAGCCTCAAAAACAAAACATGTACCCCAGAATGTATGCTATGCAAGTTCGCTCCAAGGACGAAAAAGAGAAGAAAAAAAAAACATGAGGTATCCACCGTCATAAACGACCCCTCACTCATCAGGATCACTATAATTCCAGAGCTTTTTCCGCTCCGCAACCCACCAAATGCCAACTTTCTCGGCCTTTTGAACCCATTCAAATGCCTCCTGTCCATACTTGGAATGGACCTCCGCAGCAAGAGAGTCCATTGTCCAGCCGGTGATAGGCTCAAGCTCGTACGGGTCCGTATTCAAGTTTGTGAAGCGGTACTCGAAGTCATTGTTCAGTGGTAGGTTGAGACGCCAGGGCACAGCAGCGGAGGCAACGCTCAGCATCGAGCCACCCGCATTGATAACGCCCATGTTCCAGGCTTCGCGGCCGTTGTGCGAGGTGCGATACGGGCGGATGAGGGACTGGCCCTCATACTCGTTCATCAGATCTAGGGCGATTTCGGTGTCGTCTGCGTTGAGGGAGTTGGTGTTCACTAGGAGATCGAGGATCGTCGGGAGGATGGATACGGCGCTGCCGTTGACATTAAGGTGCATGCGGGGTAGTAGGGGGTGGTGGAATACTAGGGGCACGCGGAAATTGCTGATGTGTGGGTTGTGGTAGGTTCCTGTGATGGGGCAGTCTTCTCCAAATGCTTGGCCGCTGTTTCGTTGGTTAGATGTCAGGTTCTTTGGTCACTGGTGGGTAATTGCACGTACTGGTCTCCCACAAAGACTGTCAAGGTCTCGTTGGCGATGCCGGCTTCTCCGAGCAGGCCCATTAAGTCGCCGAGCCATGTGTCAACGAAGTGGTTTGCGTTGAGGAAATCATCCATGAGTTCGTGTTGTGATTTGTGGAGATCACCGAAATAGTGCTCTCGGTTCCAGCCCTCGGGTGTACCCCAAGGGTGGTGAGTGGTGCTGGTGAAATGCGAAAGGAAGAGTCTCTTGTTCTGACGAAGCGTTTCGTCGATTAAGTCTTTGATGTAGGGGCGGGCCTCGGTTTCGGCATAACTATGCAAAGTCAGTATTTACACACGAGGAAAGTTGCTGGGTATACTGCGTGATAACATACCCGAAATAATTGATCTTTTCCATATCCTCATGGAAATACTTCGCATCCTCCACATCAATGTCCTCCGAGTACAATGTCTTGTTGAAACCGAGCAGATCCATAAGCCGAGTCTGCTCCTGGAACTCCCCAGTGACAGATTGGGCATAGATGGTTTCCCATTCCCGCTCCAGGTGACTATCGGTAGAATTCCTAGAGCTAGAAGAATTCTTGCGCTGGTTGAATAAATCCATGATGTGCATCAGACACGGCTGGTATGGGATGATATCATTTTCATGCATAAAGTCCACGGGGAGCGGTCCAAGACCGCAGTAGTTGACAAGACGCGATTTCGCAGAGAGACTGCTCCCCGACACTATCCCGTCGAAGCTGAGACCACCTAGTCCGGGATTTGGTGAGCTCACCGAAGCGCCGAAGCCGGATGGCTCCCCTGTAAGCATCTCTGCGACGGGTGTTAACTGGGACAGCTTGTCGTGCAGATCGGCTTCATCCTCCTCTCCGTATATTTCATATGATTCCCGGATTTGGTTGTACAGTCGAGAATCGTTCTTGAGGGGGAACAGATCCTTTCTGCCGCTTTCCAAAAACACAAAGACGATATGGTTGATTGGGATGGCATGGTCCTTCAGAGCCTCCTGCAGAGGACCAAGTGGTTCCAGGTCAATATTGTTTATCCTCAGGGGATCTTGAACGGGGTTATAGAAGTAGTGTCGCGGTCCAGCTGTCTTATTCTGGCCTTCAGAGTGGGATTTGTTTCCGCCTCTCCTGGACAGGCTTTGAATGGTCGAGTCGGCCGTATTTGAATCGGGATTCACAATCCATCTCTCGAATGCAGCAGGAAGAGGGCCTTGCGCCCAGGCTGGCTTATTTTTTCCATAGGCAGTGTTACTCGAGTCGTCCAATGTCGGTGCCCACCCCTTGTAGTGTCCATTTTCCGGTTCCCGGTATCGCTCCGCTAGCAATTCTGGTAGCGGAAATGTTTCGATGGTCATCTGACGAGCCCGAGAGTGTTCGCCGAGCATGGTGAAGGGCAGAGCTCCAGTCATGTGATTGTATGGGATTGCTGGGCGAATCAGCCAAAGTCCGATCGTGACTCCAGTCCCCACAAGCGTCCAAAGCCGAGGTCGATTTGACACTAGTATATTTCTCAAATCTGAGGGGCCGGGTAAGACGGCGGAAGTCTTGGCGTCTCCGAGATGGGCGAGGGAGCATAGCCAGCGGGTCATGAGATTCCAGATTCCTTGGGCCATAAGCCACGAAGCCACGACGATAACTGTTGTAGTGGCAGCCATTGGCACCAGTCCGCTCAATATCAACTTCTGTCCCTGTCGACTGGCGCCCACGGACCTGGCTGCATCCCATTGAATTTCGCTGCCGGTCTGAGAATAAAAACTAAACTGCGACGCGGTTGCTAGTAAATCAGTGCATCTGAGGGTAGAAGTCAATATCGTTGCGCGTCGCATTTCGGAAAAGGTGAACCAACGCGATAATCGCTGAACCGATAACGGCGGCTACTGCCCACCGACCGGAGGTTGTATATAAGAGAATCCATACTGTAACGAATAGCAGGACCTCCTGAATAAAGAATGTCGGGAAATAGATCGCCAAAAGGTATAGAGGAAGCGATCGATGCTGGTATATGTGCAGCAACTTGGAGCAGAGACCGGACAGCACCAAAATCGACAAAATCAAGCGCTGCGGATGATGAAAACGAGTGACAATCATAATGGCCCAGCGCTTAAGCGGCCAACATGAGGAAATCTTTCAACACGGACTGTTTTTCAATCCGTTTATACTTATACCATATAAGGGGCAGGGGAAAAAAAAGGGAAAACAGGGAAAAATAGGGTGACAAAGATCTTGACTCGGCTCCACAACATGCTATCGGAATTGTGCCAGGGCTATAATTGTCAAATGGTCGGATCGTGCGGGTGCACTAGCCAACACAAGGTGGACCTGAAGGGGGTCTTTGCTCAGCCCTGGGGTGTCATGGTGTGGTGTTTAGGCGCTGTGTACCCTGCTTTTCGACGATGATCGGCGCTCCGGGGAAATGTCATTCGTTCAGCCTTAAGAGGCCATGTTGTTGTCATATTGCAGGGCAACATAACGCATGTATGGACCGGAGTGGGCCGTCTGCTTATGCGAATACGAAGAGCCCCGTAGCCCTATATGTTCTAGATGTGGTTCAGGGGGAGAAGGGCCACCCCCGGGGCCTGCCGGAGTATTGGAAAACTGGAGATGAGATTGATTATTTCGTTGGTTTCCAAGTTCTGCCAAGATTGCATTATTGACGGGAGATGTCAATGTCTTGGCTGAGGATGTTTGGGTGTTGCCTGCTTAGCCGGCAAGCGGAGGTCTCGGCAACTTGCATGTGTGCATAAGATAATAATTACGCCGAAGTTACCGCTTTTAGAAACGGCTGCCTTTCCACTATTCTGCACCATAGCACCTTGCTCTCTTGGAGAAGCTCTATACTAGTATAAGACGCCGGTGTACCAGAGAATTTATCAATCCTCCATGTTGGGTAAGTAGCGAGTGGTCATCTGCAAACATGTCGTACGTTAGGAGGGTCTGTAATTTTTGTAAAAAAATGCAAAGGCCGGTTAGTTAACGAACTACGAAGTCAAATTAGGAGTCGATACAGAAATACAGAAGTTGAACCTGCATTTTACAATACGGTCAATACGGATAGAAGGCATTAATTACCAATCTATATTCCATCCATGGATATGCTATGCTCGTCTTCTCTCTCACTTCTCTTCTCTCTGCACTTCACTTCTCTTTCATTTCTCTTATCTCGCACTTTTCTCTCTCTATTCATCATAATGTCTCGACTAGGAGATTTCGATTATCTACACGGTACTAAAGTAACGCTTGAACATTCTTCCCCCTCACCCAGTGCAACATTTGTCCTCGATGATAAATTGTCTGAAGAATTCCAAACCATGACACAGGAAGAACATGATGATGACCTCGGCCATCCGTTTGCGGCACTTAATTTCTCATGCCATAACCTCCTCGACCCCACCCAACAGAGCTTTATACGGTTCTACTATCAAATTCCGATTGACGGTACTATTTATCACTCCCCTCAAGCTCGAGCTCAGCAAGCTCTCACTCAGCATACCCACGCGGATGTCAAGGCTCTCATAAGTCCTGTATCGGTGGAGAGATGAAAGGGGAAAGCCTAATAAATTCAACAGTCGCTTTATGGAGGCTTGGTCGGTGAATCGACCAGTCAGGTGGGTATGGATCTTCTGCTTTGGGTAGTGTGGGATGGTTAAATTGGGGACTCAGTAGGAAGCTGATCCTTGACTTCGTGTCAGAGTCAAATTCGTCAGCACAAGGTTGGTCGAGCTGGATGTAATTATCGAGCTGTACAGCGAGGAGGATGGCTCTGTGGAGCTGTTTGTCCATCCGCTCTGATGAAACTGATGATTTTGCCAGTGATGGCTGGCTTTGTCGGGGAATCTGGGGGACTGGCCTCTTTGCAGAGGGTCTCCGATGACTATTTTACTAGAAAAGAAAATTTCTAGCTCAGGGGATCCCGCTGAGGTGGATCTCAAGACATGCTACCAAGTTGGTACAACTAGTGTGGATGGTAAGAGATGATTGATTAAGCTAGTCTGCAAGCTACACTAAGGAAGGCCCGGTCACATGACCAAGTGGCAACAGGCGCCCCTTCCGAAGAAGCCCTCGCCCCGAGGGCTCTTGTAAAAATGGATATTAAAATTGGTGTAAAAGGAAATCCGATTGCAAGGTCAATCCTGCTGTGCTTCCTCCTGCGTCAGGGTGTCGAGGTTTGGGACGTAGTGGAGGAGCAGAGATTTCAAAACCTCCCTAGAGAAATCCATTTTGACAGACTGAACTTAGGCAGCAAGTTCCCTAGCTTTGATCTCACGTTCCTTCTCAGCGGTATGGGCTTTATTGTACCCATTTATCCAGTCTTTGTATTCCTCGTACTGGGTCGTCGCGTCGTCGGTGTACCAAGCTATGTATTCCTGTTTCTGATGGCCTAACTGGTGGATGTTTTTCGCTACCTGAGCCCCTTCGGAGTCAAGTTGTTCGATGGCGTTGAGCTTGATAAAGTCTATATCACAAGAACTGCACTGCAATCCCAAAGTTACTTGGTCATGGTGACCGGGTGCAAGGTGTAAGAGACTACGTCCCTGGAGGTTATATCAATTATGTCGTGTGGACGCGGGTGGCCGGTGAATCTATTAACTCCGTTCCTTACTGGAACGTGATCTCGAATACCGGGAGGAGGTACGTTCCGTTTTCCGCGCTACTTATAAGTAAGATCATATATACTCCCTTTGTATACCAGTACTAATATCAAGAAGAGAGCTACAAAAGGATGTATGGGCATCGTCAATTTGCTGTTTGAGGAAACTCATTTATGATGAGGCCACCACTAAATCTATGTAGGTGGCTACGACAGCCTACAAACATCGATAATGGTGAGCTAATGCTTTCTGGGCATATTTCTGGATTCCGTGATCCCGATACCTTAGATCCTACACCATTATCCGATGTGACATACGCAATTTGGAGATTGGTGAGGCCAGCTCACAGGGTGGACTGGATGCGTGATAGCTCTGACTGGAAATGCTGACGGACGCGGGCGTACATCACTGATGAGCCCGGTCTCTGGGGCAGTTTTCAAAGGCCATAGGCCATGTACTTGGGACAGCCTTGAAAAACCACCCAATCGACATCTACTTTGAGGATTATAAGTATTCAGGAAGTACATGCCAACATCCCCGACGTTGTAGGGCTAAATCAGGAGACTACCATTGCGGTCAATGAACCTATCGTTCCTTCAGGACCAATTGTTTCGCCAAGACGACTCACCAACCCGATAGAGAATCCGTCTTCCAGTGGGATCTATAAAACTATTCCTACGGATCAGAATCCTGGATCATCCGCCCGAAGGAACCCAAGACGCAAATGGCACAACCGAATCAAGCTGGAGAATTGTGGGTCGATGAGCATGATCTTGCAGCGGCCACTGCCATGAGGACAGAGCTTCGGCGCACTCTCGCGTAACCCCTGCGAGATATGCAGAAGTTGAATTGCGAATATGGGCTCATTAGCACTTACCAGGATACCATCTTCCTGAGGCAATTTCAGTCCCCCGGGGGACGATGGGAAGTGTGGTACTCACCAGCCCTCTCCTCTCCAAGCTGTTATGTGCCAACAGCCCCTCACCCTCAGGGAATCCATCTGACACTGCCGCATGTGTCTGAAAATGTGTATGCTTTACGAGTACCAGCCCACAGTTTACAACCAGACAAGGCGGTGGGTGGTAAATAGATGAGATTGACAGATAAACGGTGGTAATGCAAGTGTGTACGTGGCATAATAATCCCAATAAAAACTCTCTAAATTCACAATACTATGTTGTAGTCCGGAAATCACAATCTGGTGGACAAAACAAATGTACTAGTAATCAAATCACAACAAACAAGACAAACGTTTCGGCCTGAATCCTAGTCACATCACCTGATCGGTCTGTATCAAGAATGAAAAATAACAGTATCCATCCTAGTTATGTTACAGAAGCTAAACCTAAACAGCAAAACTAACCAAGAGGCAATTCACCGGTCCGCCTTTTACAGACACAAAATTGCGCATAAAATCATGCTTTTTTTGGATTTCAATATCAAGTCTATGGATGTTTCCAACCAGCTACCATCTCACTCACATCATGAAGTACGGAATATGCCCCTTGTCTCACCAGGCATCACTTCTGCAAATTTCTCAGAGCAAGCACCGTCTGCAAATCGTCAAATCGGATCTCACGCTCCTTGGAACAAGCCAGAAGACCAGCGGTCTTGATGATATTTTTGATCTGGCGACCGTTCAATTGCAACTTGGCCACCTGGTCAAGTTGCTCATCCGTGATGGCTTCAATGTTCATCGAGCGGCTGAGGAACTGTCCCCAAACCTGGCGCCTGGATTCCGCATCGAGATCCTTGTAGGCGATGGAAAGGTGGACGCGAGAATCGAAGGCAGGGTCGATGTTCTGCGTACGGTTGGTGGTCAAGAAGAGAATACCCTGGAGAGAAAGATAAAAGATCAGTATCATGTCATTTGTGCGCTTCGCCCAAATTCAGAGCTTACCTCGTAGTATTCAAGAGTTCTCAAGAAGAGCGAGACAAGTTCATTGCGATCGAGATTGGCGGAATCGCGGGCTTCCATGAAGACATCAGCTTCATCAAGCAACAGAATAGCACCCCACTTGGGAACCAGCTCCAAGATGTCTTTCAACTTTGACTCGAAGCGTTTGGCTTCGACTCCAAGGTCGCCAGCACTCATAACATAAATAGGAACCCTCATGACCTCAGCAACGCTTTCCGCAGTCAGGGTCTTTCCGACACCTGGAGGACCGCTGAGCTGGACAATGAACCCCTGGCCTTTGCCCCGAATGACGTCGTCAAATGTATCCTTTTTCTGGGACTGGGCCTTTGCGACGGCCAAGATGACGTCCTTGAACCCCTGCTGCTCCCGCGGTAGGACCAGTGACTCAAAAGCCTGCTCATCCCAATCAATGTCTTGCACATGATCCACGTGGAACGAACGCCATTTTTTGTCATTCAGGGCATATCCGTTGAGCATTGGGGTTGCAATGAGGCGCTGAGCATCATCCAGTTCTTCACCAATCTCCCTATCAAAGTTGATTGTCTTGTGGTGCGCAAACTTGTTGTATGCCTGGGCGTCAATGATGACGCGATTCTTGACATGACCCTTGGAGTTGGTGCTGGTTGAAGAATCATAGGATCTGAAATGGTACCCCTTGAGGGCTTCCCACTTCTTGCCTCGTGCAGTCAACATTTCCTGGACCGCCTCCTTCGCGGGGTGTAATTTGAGCGGGAAGATAGTCAACGAGGTGATTGGCATAGCGCCTTCAAATCGGGGGATCATGAAATCCGTGGTGTTGTATCCGAACTTGGTTCCGTCGAATTCGACGTATTCGGCTTGGAAATAATCAATTGGCGATCCTTCACCGTCCGACGATCCGCGTGTGGACGAATAAGCACGGAGCCCTTCCTTGGCCGAAGAAAGGATCACATCGTCCGGTTTGATGATTGTCCAAACCAACTCAAAAGTGATGACCCCTTTGGCAACCAGCTCATTCTTGCTGTCGATGACATCCCTGAGCTCCTCGTCCATGATGCGGTAGAACATGTCGACATGGGCCTTGGTTGTTGGATCCTGCACTTCGTCCCGCAGTTTGGTGATTTCTTCCCATCGATGAACGAAAGCCCGGAAAGGCGAGCAGAATTCGGGGCGGTCCAAGGTCAGGGCGACACTAGGATAACCCTTCATTGCCTCTTTCAAGAACTCATTGAGACGCTCGCTTTGCACAACGACGGAATGAATCGACAAGCTCCTGCGTCCGTCGAAGCACTTCACCTTCTTCGTGAGGAGTGCGTATTGTGCTGACTCTGCATCCAAGACGGGTGCGGGCAAGTCGATGGGCATTTCTTTGGTCCATACCGGTTGGCCCCAACCATCGGAACTTTTCTGGTAGAGGGTGCGGACATCACAGAGGGTACCCTCAGGCTCATACTGGATTTCTTGGACCTCGGGTTCTGTGATGCTATCATCGACAGCTTTGATCGTTGGCATGTGAATGATAGGTCAAATGTCAGAAGGAATATAGACTTACCACCAACTCCATCATAGATTTCGATCTTCATAATGGATGTCAAGTCAGAGAAACTGGAAGGGGATCAGAAGTTTCAGTGAGAAGAGTACTCAGAGAAGAAAGGTAGATGGTGGAAGGTTGGACGTGGGAAGGATTACCCTTATATGTTTGTCCGCCTGGGCATGTATGAGACACGTCTTTGGTACGATTTAAACCATTTGCTTGCTTCTGCCTGTATATTTGATAACCTTCTTTCTATAACATGGTACTGATGTCATTTTTTGTGTATAACTATTGTCGGTGAAGGACTGTGAAGAGTCAAACGGTCGAGGTTACACCATCTAGGCCTTGGATCACTGGCATATTACAGAATACAAACAGAACTGAAAAGAAGAAACATAAGACAAGCAAGGCTATGCACATATATAGGTAGATGTGGCATGCACCTAATCGTGTCTAGGTGTATATGTACCTTTTGTATGGAGTTGCTATACAAAAGATACCTGCTCCTCCCAATTTGGCAGACATACTTCGTATAACCTCACCGTCTCCTCTGATTGGTCTTTCCATCGCATCGGCTACCCACACATCATGCCATCATGTTTACATTCTGAGAGAACGAGAGATCCCTCTAGGCCAAAAAAAAAGAGAAATCTTACTTTACAATTATCATCAATTCATCAAATGCACACTGTCGCTATCCAGAAATGTCCTACTCCGCAAATCTCGCTTCTGCTACTCCGTACATCCCGTGGCCTTCGGCCGAAAGAGTCCCAAGCCCGAAAAAACCCCGCTAACTCACTCGGTTTGAAAAGCCGTCAAACGGGCCCTGATAACCTCCTCCGAGTCCTGCGTGTCCAGCTCACTGAGCACACCGGATCCAACATCGTAAACCAAGCCATGCAGCTGCAGTCCCCGGTCGCGGATCGCGTTCAACACAACACTCTTCTGCTTGACAATGTTCAAGCCCTCGCGAACGTTCAGCTCGGCCAGCTTCGACGACGCCTCTTCAGCAGGCATTGACTGCAAAAGTTCCAGGTTGCGCTCGCGCAGCTGACGAAGGGGAAACAGCCACGGATCCAAAATACCCAAGTTCTTATTGCCCATGGCAGCCGAGACACCACCGCAGCATGTGTGCCCGCACACCACGACATGGTTGACACGCAAGTATTGCACGGCGTATTCGATAACGGCGTTGGAGCTGAGGTCGCCCGGGTGGAGGATGTTGGCAATGTTGCGGTGCACGAAGACGTCGCCGGGCTGCAGGCCTAGGAAGGTGGTTTCGGGGCAGCGGGAGTCGGAGCACCCGATCCACAGAATCTGCGGCGTTTGGCCCGAGGCCAGGGTAGGGAAGAGCTCGGGCTGGTTGCGGGCTGTCTGGGCAGCCCATTCCTTGTTCAGGCGCAGGCCTGCTGCATATCGGTCTGCGGGATCCGCACCAGGAATGTCAGTCTGGGTCTGGTTCTTGGGCTTGGCAGGTGGTTCCGCGATCGACGGTGGTTCTCCGCTGGTGCTTTGGTGTCTCGCGCAGGATAGGGATGGGGAGGTTGAGAAGGGCTTGGTGTGATGCGGGGACAGAGCGATCTTGCTGCGCGCCACGAGAGACTGCGTGGTGAGCAGGGGTCTCGGTGAGTACTTGGAATCCCACACTGCGCGCGCAATGAGACCGCTTCGTCTGGTGAGTCTTGCGACACCCATGGAGGGGAAAAAGGTAGGAGGCGGGTTGACAGGAATTGGTGAAGGGAAAGCCGACTGAGAAAGACAGGATTACACAGACGATCAAGGATACAATTAATCCAACAACCGGTCGTGGACTTCTCACAGGGCTCCGACAATCTGAATCGGGTTGATTGGGAGATAAGAAGCAGAGCGGGAAAATTTGACCGGGGAAGTTGAACTGCCAAGAACGCGCATACAACAAAAACACCGCTCACACACTTACCTTCAAGCATGATGGAGTACTAACAGTGAAGAGAGATATGGAGGAGAGCAAGAAGAAGGAATTTGTTAGAACTATATGAATTCTCAAGTGAGAGGGGCAAGTAAAGACTGGGGAAAACAATCAGTTCGAGTAGTACAAACGCGCAGATTGGCGAGTTGGGCATTTTCGAAAGTTCAGAATCGAACGACTCTACTATCTAGGTTGTATATGTACGTGTACGTACCCATTCTAGGCCGCGTGCGAAAGGGCAGAGCTGCCAAAGGTCATATGCCTGATTTGCAGGGTTGATGCCTGAATGTGTCTAAATTCTGCCTTATTTTAGACCCCACCTGGGCATGTGACAGAGGGCTTAATAAGCAAAGTCTGTTCCCCAAAAAATGAAGCTATTCCCACCATACAAATCTCCGCATACACCCATTTCTAGGCGTTGAAGCATCCATTTCAAAGCTGACATCAATATTCAGAAAATCAAGAGTACATATATTCCAGCAAATCATTTAACCTACTCCTACCATCTAGCCTGCAATTTACACCGGTCATCAATTGGATTGCACATCTCGAAAAACATCTAGATCAACTCCATACCGCGATATCGTGGAATTCGCGTTAGTGTTTCTTTCTGGTCACATCCCTATGCCTGAAAGTCGCCAAATATGGTTTCTTTTACTCACTGGCCACCACCTGCTGCTTTGTCAAAGGTACCTCGAAAGAGACAGGATGGCCACGACACATCTTCTTAGAGACAGGCTCAAGGATAGGCGCACCGAAGCTGGCTAGATGAGAGAAGAGGGAAAACCGCGTTAAAAAACAAGATCATGGGAATTTGAGTAGAAAGTTGACTCACAGATTGGCCAGTCACCAGTCTCGAAGGATTGAAGATAGACACTTAAATACGGGCTCCCCTTCCGGTAAGAGAAAGAGATGTAGGCGTGGAGGTAGTTGACAGTGTCATGATCTACATGAGGACTAGATTTTGTTAGACGGGTTGAGTGAATAGAATTGTTTCAACTCACTAGTAAGCACGCAGGCTATCCCTGTATGTCTGCAGCATATGGGTGTAGCCGTGACGCCTGAAGAAGGTGGCTAGTCCATCCGTGACCCGGCCATCGTTCATACCGAAAGTCGTAAAGTAGACCTGCGGTTCGGGCATTGGGTCGTCGTGGTGAAGGGTATAGTTGGCCATCAGAGGAAGCTGCTCATTGGGGACCTCGCCAAGCTTGAGATAGGGCTCCGGGTACGAGAGAATACCGGTGGGAAGGTTGATCAGGTCCCATAGCTCCCGAATCATCTCTAATCCAGCGAGTGTTTGGGTATCGTTTCGTCGGCCGCCTAGTGTCCACAGGTCCTCCATCGATTCCAGGGAGACATTCAGCTCCAAGAGGTATATTTTGATCCGAGATTGACGTGGGTCACATAGATCGCAAGAAATGAGCCGGGGAGAGGCGGTACTGGAAGTTCCGCGAGAGTGAACATACTCTTCTAATTTGCGGAGAGGCGCGGCGAGAGTCGGGTACTGGTGGGAAAGGCGATGAACAGAGTCAAACATGAGCTCTTGCACTGGCTTGCCGGTTGCCAGAGATTTGAGTGCGGGATATATATACGCCTTCAACACGAACTCGCCACCCTTCAGGTCCAAGGCCAGTTTGTTTTGCGTTCGGATTTGGCCCCCAACCTTCTTTTTCTCTAAGAGGTAGGCCGTGTCTTGGTCGTTGACAGTGAGATCCCTCTTCAGATGCGCGAAGAACTCTAGATCAATGCCCTTCTGCAAAGGGATCAGTGTATCGAGTGCGTCCCATATGGCATGAGTGTTGAAGGGATCTTTCAGGGAGCCGGTGGCAGCGTTAATGGGCTCAAAGGTGTATCGCACCACTGAGTGGGTGCAGTTTAAGCTCAGTTCAAAAGGCGTGCCGTATCGAGTTAGGATGCTGAGCCATCGATCGTTGGTTTTGGTAGGGTAGACACCAAGGAAAGGAATGATAAACTTCTGGTACAACCCGAGAGCTTTGTACCGAGAATGAATATCATATCCAGCAACCTTGAGCATTTCTGCGAACATAGGTGCCGTACTGTGCCACCATAGCTTCTGATCGTGATCGGGGAAGTCTGCAAACTCAGTGATGGTCTGGTATACAAGACAGCTAGAAGCATTAGGTGGTTCAATGGAGCCCATAGTGACAGCTGCTTAACACAATAGAATAGTTGTAGAATGAAGCAGTCTATACGTTCTACAACTGACACTATATATTTCCACAGTGAATACGGCTATAGATTGAATAGAATGGTCGATGATCATGAAGATCACGGAAACCAGGATAAATATGCAAGATACACCGTAGAATCAAGGGATGAAAGACTTGCAGGAAAGCACACATACAGCTGATCATGATTGATTATATCAACACTCTCGTAGATATGGCGAGATACTGTTCATTCTCACCCTTTACGTATATAGTGGAGCTCTCGATACGTTACATCTACACTGCGGGTAGGCCCGAACTATGTTCCTGTGCTTTGCTCTCGGACTTGGCCGTAATATTGGAAACTCATCAAATAATCTAGAGGGCTGGCCACCGCCTTTTAGCTGAATGCAAGCATAAAATGGGTTGGATTTACAGAATTCTGAACCGCATCTATGCACATTCTTTTTGTTGATAGAAATCCACCACCAATCGGCAATGATGTTTCATTTTCTGGGGACTGCTGGGCTAGGTATAGCTCTCAGTTGGCTGGTATTTACACACTTCTTACAGTCTTCATGTCGTTGCCAGCCGTGGGAACCCTGTTGGCCGTCGGATGAACAATGGGAATTACTAAACAGATCGATGGAGTTCACTCTTGTTAGGTTACAACCTATTGCATCAGTCTGTTACAACCATAGCCTCGATCACACCTTATGCGAGGATGTGATGCGTATGTCAAGGGACAGTGGATGGAGGGCATCGCAACCTGGTAAGCCTGGCACTCACGTTGGGTACCTCCAAAAAAGATTCCTCAGCTGAGACTATCAACCAGGTGCATTGCAGGATTGGGTATGGGAGTCTGGCCAATCCCCTGGTGATGCATGCCCATTGGGATCTCAGATGAATGGTCATACCCAATGCCACCAAGGGCGCATTCCTCTTTACTCGGCAATGGTGAACTCCACAAAGCATGTTCAAGAAGCCGTAATGTTTGCTAAACGCCACGATCTTCGCCTTATCATCCGGAACACGGGCCATGATCTAGCGGGTCGATCCAGCTCGCCCAATGCATTGCAGATCCATACCCACCGGCTGCAAGATATTAAATTCCACGATAATGTTCAGCTCCACGGATTTGAAAAGTCTTTCGGTCCAGCTGTGAGTGTTGGAGCTGGTGTTATGATGGGGGACCTATACGCAAGGTCCGCACAAAATGGATACATTGTTGTCGGTGGCGATTGTCCTACAGTCGGAGTTGTAGGAGGATTCCTGCAGGGAGGAGGAATTTCAGATTTTCTTAGTCTACACCATGGATTGGCAGTGGACAACGTTCTGGAATTTGAAGTTGTGACCGCTAGCGTAAGCCTGCCAGAGCCTGATGCCATACAATATTGTGGGTTTCTAACCTTGAGACAGGGAGACATCGTTCTGGCCAACGCTATTCGGAATCCGGACCTATTTTGGGCATTGCGGGGGGGTGGAGGTGGGACTTTTGGAATTGTTACGCGAGCTACTATGCGAGTGTTTCCCGACGTCCCTGCTATTGCGGCTGAGCTCGGCGTGCAGACATCCCAATCTCACGGCGAATATTCTCGAAGCCTTGCTGCATTCTTCACTGTCCTGCAGTCATTGAACCGTGAAAATGTTGGTGGGCAGCTGATCATCACTGTGATATCTGAACACTCTATTGAGGCAAAACTTAAAATGTTCTTTCTGAACCAAACCAATACGGCGGATGTCGACCAGCGAATGCAGCCATTTGTTGAGGATATGAGGCGCATTGAAACTCATGTGACATACGAATCAACATCATTGCCGAAACTCAGCATGAACTATCGACAGGTTCCCGACATTCACACCGATAACGACTACGGTGTTCTTGGGTCCACTGTCGCCATTTCTAACGACTTATTCAATGCTTCCAAGGGGCCTGCATACGTGGCCGACGGTCTGGCCCAACTCCCCACGCGGCCGGGCGATCTATTGTTCACCAGTAACCTCGGAGGGCAAGTCATGAGAAATGGAGACCTCATGGAGACGTCCATGCATCCGGCTTGGAGGAATGCTACTCAGCTGATCAACTTCGTGCGACCGGTTGAGCCGACTATTGAAGGAAAAGCAGGTGCATTACAAAACCTTACGAATATTCACATGCCCTTGCTTTATGCCATTGACCCGAGGTTTCGGTTATCCTATCGTAACGTGGGGGACCCGAACGAAAAGGATTTCCAACAGGTCTATTGGGGACAGAGCTACGCCCGCCTGTTACAGCTGAAGCGACGGTGGGACCGAGAGGGGCTTTTGATCAGCAAGTTAGGAGTGGGTAGTGAGGAATGGGACTCGGAGGGTATGTGCAGGACAGGACGACGATCATTGGAAAACTTGGCGATAGATACGCTGAGCTCACTTGCTCATTTAATACATGTGACGTATCGATGTATTTGGTGAGAATACTACAAAGATGCTCGTGTGCTCACCGCCAGAGATGAGGATTAAATGTGGCTGAGCCGTCAGATAGTCTGGTGTAGAATCAATTCTTGATGCAATTCATGTTCTCTAGCAAAATACAGGAACCGAAAATATGACTATCATCAACTCACGCATTATTGACATACGTCAGAGCACATTCGAGGAATCCATTCCCGATCAAGTCACGGCTGGACTGTCTACTACGCCCAAAACTCTTCCAGCTCTTCTCTTCTACAGCGGGGAAGGAATTCGGCACTGGATTGAACACTCTACCGCCGCTGACTTCTATCCACGACATGAAGAGCTGCGCATTCTACGCGCCCGAGCGGCTGAGATGGTTGATTCGATTGCCAATAACAGTGTAGTGGTTGATCTTGGGAGCGCGTTAGTAAAATGATCACCTGAGTGGTTCTATTTCTATTGAAAGATAGCTAACACTGCTGTACAGAAGCCTGGACAAGGTTTTACCGTTACTGGAAGCACTAGAGGCATCAAAGAAGAACATCACGTTCTATGCACTCGATCTGAGCTTTTCGGAGCTTCAATCTACGCTGCAGTCCCTCCCATACGAACAATTCAAGTTTGTCAAAATTGGTGCACTTCATGGAACTTTCGAAGATGGAGTGCAGTGGCTGAAAGATACCCCGGGAGTACAGGACCGGCCGCACTGTCTCCTATTGTTTGGACTGACAGTAGGTAATTATTCGCGGCCAAATGCAGCCAAGTTTCTTCAGAACATCGCAAGCAACGCGTTGGCCGCTAGCCCAGTTCAAAGCTCTATTCTCCTGAGCCTGGATAGTTGCAAAATGCCAACCAAAGTGCTGCGCGCCTACACTGCTGAAGGCGTCGTTCCTTTTGCTTTAGCGTCCCTGGACTATGGAAACACCCTGTTCGCTCCAAACAAAATGGGGGAGAAGGTATTTCAGCCCAGTGATTGGTACTTTCTGAGTGAGTGGAACTATATGCTAGGCCGACACGAAGCCTCTCTCATCACGAAGGGCAAGGAGGTCAGACTTGGGGGCCCATTGAACGACATCGTTATCGAGAAGCATGAGAAGATTCGTTTCGGATGTAGCTACAAGTATGATACAGACGAGCGTCAAGTACTATTTGGGTCGGCGGGATTGACGGATGTGAAAGAATGGTCGGTTGAGGGCTGTGATGTTTCTTTTTACCAGCTCCAAATGTGTCCTAATTGAGATATTGAATACGTTGCAATTGTGTATCTTTTTTTTTGAGGTGAACAGCCCACGATATTATTATGCAATATGATGAAATGCAACAGATTGATAACTTCTCATGTGATATCAGTTTCTCAAGAGGCGTGTGGTGAAACTCAGTACCCACCTTACTGCATCCAGATTAATCTGGTTTATGCGGGATAAATGTACAATTCAGCCTCCGGTAATTTATTACTATGGGGTAAATTAATTGTATATGCAAGGGAAAAAATGGAAGCTAGAAGACACTAACTATGTGCGATACAAAAGTTGGTTGTGAAATCGGGAATGCTTATTATTACAACATAAATGTTGCATCTATCCAATCAATGTGCCCTGTAAAAGGTGATTGTATGAGTTGGTGACAAAACTGCGACTCAGATTTCGCAATTGGATGCATAAAGTCTACAGTCTATCTAAAATATAGTGACATCGAAATGCACAGGAAGAAAAAAAAAAAGAAAAGATGTAGGAGACTCAGGATCTGATCCCCGTGTCTCCCCAAATCAAGCCTTTTTAGTTATGCGCTTTCCATTCCAAGGGCTATCTATGCCCAGAGATGTACTGCTATTTTACTAGGTATTACACGGTGTGTAAATCCTGGATATGTATAGCTACATTCCGATCAGACCCAAGATGGAATGCAGTTCATCCCTTACATCCAAAATGAAAGTGTGACGAAACGTTGGGAGCTGATATTCTTCTCTACATGCAATGCAGGGTTCGCAAGGGTTCGCAGACAACAAGAGAGAGATAGAAAGGAAATACCCGATACTCAGAAAAGGTAGTCTCTGCGGGCTTACACCTCTGCATACTGGATTTTAGTAGTATTTAGCCCGGAGAAAGCCGAGTTCTCAACGACACAGTTCACTCTGAAGTCTTTCATCCAATACATTGAGCAAAAAAATGGCTCCCAACTACGCGAAGAAATGCCCAGTCATGGGCAAAGCACCCTCGTCCGGCCATTCTAGCATCGGCCCTCAAGATGTCCATACTCTAGAAGTATTGTCCAATTTCAACCGCGAAAAGATCCCTGAGCGGGTGGTTCATGCCCTTGGAGCTGGGGCGTACGGGGAGTTCGAGGTAGGTACTATCTAAATCGCATTCGAATCCTGAATTGGAATTAGAAGTTAATTCTGTGACAAGGTGACCCACGACATCTCCGATATTTGTAATATCGACATGCTCCTCGGTGTCGGCAAAAAGACGTCCTTAGTAACACGCTTTTCAACCACTGGTCTGGAGCGCGGCTCCTCCGAGGGCGTTCAGGACCTGAAGGGCATGGCGACCAAGTTGTTTACCAGCGATGGGGAATGGGACTGGGTCTTCCTCAATTTTCCTTTCTTTTTCATCCGCGATCCTGTCAAGTTCCCCGACATGATACACTCGCAACGGAGAGACCCCCAGACCAACCGCCTCAACCCGAACAATTTCTGGGAATTCGTGACCGAGAATCATGAATCAATTCATATGGTATTGCTGCAATACAGTGATTTCGGACGTATGTTTACTTGGCGCACTCTGAGCAGCTACTCAGGACACGCCTTCAAATGGGTTATGCCCGATGGCTCATTCAAATATGTCCATTTCTTCCTGTCTTCGGATCGCGGACCCAACTTCAAGGATGGTGCTGGCACCATCATGGATTCCAGCGAGCCCGACTTTGCGTCCAGGGACCTCTTTGAGGCCATCGAGCGAGGCGATCATCCATCTTGGACGGCGAATGTTCAGGTTATTGATCCCAAAGACGCGCCTCATCTTGGCTTCAATATTCTTGACGTCACCAAGCACTGGAACCTGGGAACATATCCCCAGGGTGTTGAGAAAATCCCTTCCCGGCCTTTTGGCAAGCTCACCTTGAATCGCAACGTGAAAGACTACTTCAGTGAGGTTGAGCAGCTAGCGTTCTCACCTTCTCATCTTGTTCCTGGTATAGAGGCCTCCGAGGATCCGATCCTGCAGGCCCGCCTCTTCGCATACCCTGACGCACAGCGATACCGCCTGGGGAGGACATTGTCGAAGCAGGCATCTCCCCGGACCTCATCAACCGCTGAGTATCAAGCCAGCCTCGGGAAAGACTTCGCTGAGTGGGTTGCGCAGGTCTCTTCGGACGTATGGTCTCAACCTCATGAGGATGATTACAAATTCGCTCGGGAGTATTATGAAATACTTCCCGAGTTCCGGAGTCAGGAGTTCCAGGATCGAATGGTGGAGAGAATTGTCGAATCAGTCTCGCAGACCCGTCAGGATATCCGAAACAAAGTGTATCGCACTTTCGCTCTGGTTTCATCCGAATTGGCCACGCGGGTGCAAGAGGGCGTTGAGGGGGCTGAAATAGATCAGGAGAAAAATGTCCAAGCGAGACTTTGATGGTGTGTTGCGGAGTTTTGCACGGACAATTTGACATAGGTAGCAGAATCCTCCAGGTCGCATTATACCTAGGTATACCGTCATGCCTCGAATAGCAACATCTAGCTGATACCGCTCCCTTGAATTTTCAGTACCGCCTTCTGAATACGGTACGATCAAGAATACTGCCATATTTTCTGCCAGTGTAGAGAGTATATTCTGCCCACTTCTGGTATACATAGTAAAAGAAACATGCATTTTGATCAGAAATAAACGTATATTCTACCTAATTCCTATAGGGTTTAATCCATTAACGATGATGCAGTCGACAATAAATTAGTTAATATGACAAAAGTGACTTAGTTCTGTTAGCAGTTTACATACAAATTACAGGTACCTACTGTTCTGCCACAAAAGCGGTATGTTAAATTGGAAGGCGGTATGATGTGCGGCAGGCAGAAGCAGGGTCCCGATTAGGAAGGTACACCTGAAAACCGGGGGGTTCCCTAAATGTATGGAATTCGAAGTTCGCGTATTTCTTTACTACATGTCTCTTGGGTTTAGCGAATTTTGAGCTTGGTGTCGTGAGCTGCCAAGTTGACTACAACATATGGGATGTGTCGACATATTCAATATGCAAGGGGGTTGGAGCTTGCCACGACTATGAAAAGTTGCATCACTTTCCGAAAATGTGGCGTCTAGCCCACCGCGACTTCATGAGCTCAAATTGGAATGCAGGATGTATTGGCGCTGCACGAGGAAGTCTTCGCAAATGGGACTCAGCAAGGATCAGTTCTAACTTGCATTGTGCATATTTCCGTCATAGCCGCCTGATTGGTATACTTTCCGTTATCTAGTTATACATAGCTCAACCGATACATGAGATGTTGATATTCAATGGCGGTCAATTGGCGGAGCCGTATTTTGTGTACTTGTGGAAGATCCTGGGAGCTGCAGACCTCATTTAGCCATTAGCCTGGCAGGTTCAAACAAGGAAAAATAGTATCTGCATTTGAATTCGTCATAGTCAAGCATGAGGTGAGACCGGCATATTTTTAGTCACATGTTGCTTTACGGTTCAATATGAGCTATCAACTGAGTACTTATTGTCTGAATATCTCGTAACCAACTCAATTATTCTCCAGAAGGGAAAGCTATACAAAGGACAACTTTCCGACTGCCTTACTATCTAGACATTTTGCAATGACTATTCTTGTACTTGGGGGACGGGGTAAAACGGCCAGTCGTCTTGCGGCTCTTCTTGATGCTGCAAAAACTTCATTCCTGGTTGGATCTAGCTCGACTTCACAGGAAAGCCCATACAACTCTTCCCATTTCAACTGGTATGAAAAGACAACGTGGGACAACCCATTTGCAGAGATTGGTAAACATGGATTGCAACCGATCTCAGCCGTTTATCTGGTTGGACCCCCTACCATGGACATGGTCCCACCTATGATCCAATTCGTTGATCTTGCTCGCTCTAAGGGAGTCCAGCGATTTGTGCTTGTCAGTGCCAGTAATATTGAGAAAGGCGATCACTCGATGGGTCAGGTCCACGCCTATCTAGACTCTCTACCAGGAGTTGAGTATGTGGCACTGAGGCCGACGTGGTTCATGGGTATGATTCATCCTGTCTAACATATAGCTTAGGACTATAGAGTGGCTAAACTGTTTTTTGTTTCCCAGAGAATCTATTGGAAGACCCCCAACGGACATGGATCAAGAACGAGAGTCAAGTAGTATCAGCGACAGGAGAGGGCAAGATCCCCTTCATCTCAGCCGATGATATTGCCTCCGTTGCTTTCCATTGCTTGACAGAATGGGGCTCGCATAAGACAGAATACATCATTCAAGGCCCAGAGCTCCTCTCATACGGGCAGGTAAGATGATTATATCCTACTTCTTGTTGACGAACAAAACTGACTTGATTCACATCCTAGGTTGCGGAGATTCTCACCTCGATCCTCGGCAAGAAAATCACCCATCACAGTTTGTCGGAAGCAGAATATACCAAGATTCTGGTTGACGAAATTGGAATGCCTGCAGACTTTGCAGCTATGTCTGCTGCGATGGAAGTTGATGTCAAAAATAGTCCCCAGGAAACTCTCAACGGTTCTGTCGAAGAAGTGACGGGGAACCCACCAAGGTTTTTCAGGACCTTTGCAGAGCACGAGAAGCAAAAATGGGTGTAGGCAGCCTGTTAGCTTTGATATCTTGTTCTTGAGGAATCTTAAGATATTAGTTATTAAACAGTCCTTCTATTTTCATTCCTGTATATCTCTAATTAATTGGTACTGACATATTCTAACTGCCGTAGAAGCTGTATCACAAGCGGGATAGAACCACTTTCAGATTACTGATGGCCCAGATCCGCTTCACGGAGAAGAATGGTTCCAGACGTCCGATGTGCATAAGCCACATGAGTTTTCAGATCTAGTTCAAGGCTTGAATTTGAAGTTAAATGAGGCACACAAGAAAAGAGCGTTGCATGGGCTTTTACTCCGCTAATCAATAGTCTGAATTTTAGTTTTCTTACGTTGCAATGCAGATGCAAAATATCATCCTAAACTATATATTTCATCCTCTATAAGGTCACGAGGTGTTTATGAGTGATGCATCGTGTCATGGTATGCTCTTTCAGGATCAGGAAATTACGGTGTACTGTTCAGCCAGCCATTTACTGCACGATATATTGTTGCGGAAAATCTATCGCTTCATTTTTATAAGCTAGCTATGCAATGCTACCCAGCGTGGCTATCCTTGCGTAGAAATGCGACATAGGAAATCCTTTATCCTTCCAGAATGTAAATCAAGTCCCTTACGGCCCTGGCGGCCAGTAGATCAGAATTTTATGTACACAATGGAGGGGATGACGATTCAGAAGTAACTACATTATGATTGAAGAAGGGAGACATTTGTTTCTGGGCACGAATACCCCGCTCAGAATATTCTCCAACCCTTTCTCTTTCACTTTGAATATCATTGCTCATATCAAAATAAATCAACCTGACCCAATGGCATCCGTGAAATCCAGGGTATTTGCCATCACTGGTGGTGCATCTGGCATCGGCGCAGCCACTAGCAGACTGCTAGCTGAGCGCGGTGCTACTGCTGTTTGTGTGGGCGATATATCCTGCAAGAACTTTGACGAGCTGAAGGAATCTATGAAGAAAATCAACCCAGCCACAGAGGTGCACTGCAGTTTGTTAGATGTGACTTCGCCCACTGAGGTTGAAAAATGGGTGAAGAGTATCGTGGCCAAGTTTGGTAACCTTCACGGGGCCGCAAACATTGCCGGCATTGCCCAGGGTGCTGGGCTCCGAAACTCGCCTACAATTCTGGAGGAGGGAGATGAGGAATGGAGCAAGGTACTCAAAGTAAATCTTGATGGTGTTTTCTACTGCACCCGTGCGGAGGTTCGCGCTATGAAATCGCTTCCCTCTGATGACCGCAGCATCGTCAACGTGGGTAGTATTGCAGCACTGAGCCATATCCCAGATGTGTATGCATACGGAACTTCCAAGGGAGCTTCCACCTACTTTACAACATGCGTGGCAGCAGATACATTTCCATTCGGGATTCGCGTGAACAGCGTATCTCCAGGTACAGCTCTTATTGTTCCATGACAGAACGGCTAGATGGGGCTAACAAGTTGTTCACAGGGATAACCGACACTCCGTTGCTGCCACAGTTTATGCCCAAGGCTCAAACGAGCGATGAGGTCAAAGAGGTCTATAGGAAAGAAGGATTTTCGGTGGTTAAAGCGGGCGATGTGGCTCGGACGATAGTCTGGTTGCTCAGCGAGGATTCAAGCCCTGTGTATGGCGCCAATATCAATGTCGGGGCCAGCATGCCCTAGTCTTTCTACGTGGTAGATACAGCACGCTGAACACAAAGCTTGCTTTTTCCCCAATGATCGAATTTATGAGATGTGTTATAGGGTGACCGGTCCACAGTCCAGTAAAATCTCCGAAATACGTATAACATACATTTGTCTACATTGTACTGCATATAGTGTATGACATGCAATATGCAAGGGAGACATACCCGCAGGGAAAAAGACATCTCTCACCCAAAACCACAGAGTCGGGCCGGGACGGGTCATCTCGCATAAAATATCGGCGCCTAGGATAATTTTTCCGTCTCTTGACGGTGATGATCCCCCTTGCTTTACTTCCGCACTTTATGTCAGCGAAAATTATCTTTGGAGGTCAAAAAATATCCGATGGATCAGGGAGTGGATAGCAATAAGCTAGTAATGCTTATAGAGGGATAAATTTGGACGAAATACTGCATCAAAATCATGAATCCACCGAGCAAAACTTCTGGCTGCTATTTCTAATGGACATAGATTGATGGTATCCTATCATATAACGGACATTCAAGCACTACCTCCAATCCATCGGTCACTCGAACAAAAGAAAGCCAGCGCTCAAGCACGCTTCTTCTCATATAAGTGGTAAAGCTTGGTCATGACTTGCCAGCGTCCGTCCACCTTGGCCATGCATAAATGATCTCTGAACCCAACTGTATCCACCTCTGCATCTACTTCAACAATGGCGGTGGTAGGGGTTGTCGACAGGATATGCAGGTGGGAGATCAAACTAGGTTCTGGACCCTTCTCCTTCATTATTTCCAAAAGGTCTGTGACTGGTCCATTGGCAAAGTCAGGACCTATGTGCCCGCACATAGTGGCATCCTTATGGAAGGATTTGTGAATGCATTCAGGGTTGCTGGTCCGGACTGCGTCGGTGTACAGCTTTGCCACGGCCAAAATCTCATGGAAGTCGGCGGTGCGGGTGGGCTTGATATCTTGGGGACAGGTGGGATTCCTCATGGTCTCTTGTTGGATTGATCGATGACGTGATGGATGATAATATAGGTTTGGTTTTATCCGTATTCTCGATCGACTGACGAGGTATGAGGAGATAGGACTCGCTGGTGGGAAATAATGATCATATATATCCTTGATCCCAGCGCTTTCATGGTCTGCCTAGAACCGCTTAGTTGCCACAGTGCTAGTACGAGTCCATTAACAGAAGGAAAGAAACTCCACATTATGCTCCATACGAGGGCAGACTCGATCTAAGCAAGGGAGTCTGGGCAAATAAACAGAAGAACATTCGATTGCGCGCAGACAGTCTTCCGATCTCCCTGCACCAGTCCTACTAGATTAGGTGTTAAGCCATTGATCAATCATGTGTATTGATTTGAAGGCCCTAACTCGAATCTATTTTGGATATGTTTATAGTACATATACATGCAGAGTGCGTAAATGTGTGAGACGTGAAGATAGTAAACTTTTATGATAGCCTTTTATTTAACGGATTTAGTGTATAGTCTATTTTTTGGGGGCTTTCGGAACATTTCGACTGTAGATTCCCTCCGCTTCAATAATCCAGTCGTGCTCAGTGAGTAAGTCAGAGCGATCAGATCACGCTCAGTGAATGAGTGGGATTAGGGCTCCTCAGTACTCCGTAGTGAGCGGGCGACCTCGGGACCTCGGGACCCCGTTCATCCGGCCTATATGATGATCAGGGTGCTCAGTGAGCAAAAAGCGGCAAGGGATGAGCACTAAAGCGGAAACAGAAACCCAACTTACGCGGCCTAAAATCCGGTGTATATGTACTCTACAAGCCAAACATTTAATTGCTCATTTGAATACGAGGGTGGGTGGTAAAGAATATGAGAAATGTAAATGCTTTTTAAAATCAGAATACATAAGTACATGTGCTTCTTTTTATAAATTTCAAGATGTACCACCCCGGCCACCAACGCTCAACAGGGTCTTCTTCTGTTCCTCGCTAATCTGCGCTGCAGGCAGAGGGCGGGCGCCGGAGACGGTCGGTGCAGGCAGGAAACCGGTTTGAACGAGATAAGAGGCATACAAGCCGACTAATTCCTCAGTCACGCCAGCACCGGCTGACGCATCAACGCCCGACCAGGTGGCATCTGCACGCAGAGCTGTGGCTGCATTTACGTCGTCTAATTCCGGAGCCTTGGTGTTGGAGGGAAGGTCGGAGGTAACGAAGTGGTAAAGGGGCATACTAAAGAAGGTTAGTTCGTATTCAGTAACGGACCGATAGGAGTGTAACTTACAGAGCATGCTGAGACTCCTTGTCATTGTGCTCGCCATCGTTGACATACTCCTCGAGGGAAGTGGACCAAGGCACGTAGTCAACCTGGGGGACATTGTATCCGTAGAGCTCTAGCGCACCGAGGAACTGGTTAAAGCGCAGACGAGGGTGTCCAGTAACATGAGCGACGTTAACGCCCGTGGCGGGCGGGTGGAAGGCAGTGGCAATGACAATACGAGCCACATGATCAACGGGCACCATGTTCACGGTGTTGAAGATATTGGGGCGAAGGCCAATCTGAATGCAGCCCTTGAGCATACGGATGAGGAAATCATCGGTGTTGGTAGTTCCGGTGACCGAATCACCAAGAACATATCCAGAGCGGACAATGGTTCCCCGTAGGCCTCTGCGGCCGGCCTCTTTGACAAGGTATTCTCCGGCCCATTTGCTTTGACCATAACCGGTTCCAAGGCCAACTCTGCTGCCCTCCATATCGTCATCCTCGCTGATACCATTTCCACCAGCGGCAATGATACGTTCGGATTCTTGGACGTAGTAGTCCTTATCCAACGCACTGGTCGAACTGACAAAGGCAAACTGCTTAGCCTTTCCACTGGCGCACAGCTTGAGGGCATCAATGGTACCAAGAACATTAGCCGGTCGAAGTGTCGCATAGGGGTAGACCCAGTGGACAAGAGCTCCGTTGTGAATCACAGCATCGACGCGGTTGGCAAGGTCGTCCCACACTGACTGGGAAAGACCGAATTGCGGCTTTCCAAGATCACCACAGACAGCTTGCAGCTTGGAGGTCCATGCTTCATCCCAGAAACCATACGCGCGGCAAGTGGAGCGAAGTCGCTCAAGTGCCTGCTCCTCGGTCTTTGCCCGAACTAGAGCTACCACCTTGGTGGAAGGAGACTTACGGGTAAGTAGGTCTCGGAGGATATGCGCGCCGAGGAAACCAGTGGCTCCAGTAAGGAACACCGTGGGTTCACTAGTGAGCATAGACTCGGTACGTTGAGGGAATGTCTTAGGCAGTTCACTGACAAGCTGGACAGCATCCTTCGAGTACTCGTCGTCCGGCTTATTAGTAGCTTCCACAGCTAGAGTCTTCTCATCGCTCATCGCGAATGATTCCATTGCCAGCAGGCGGTCAATCTCGCCAGCAAAGCCCTTAAGGGTTGGGCTGCGGAAGATAGCATTCATACTGATGTCAATAACACGCCACTTACGACGAAGCTCAAAGAACATTTGCTGCGCGAGGATACTGTGGCCACCGAGATCAAAGAAGGAGTCATCCGGTCCAATCATGCGAGATGTCACATTGGGAATGAGCTTGGCCCAGACTTCAGCCAGAGTTCGCTCGGTTTCAGAGAGGGCCTGCACCGCGGATGAGCGGCGGCGAGGTGCAGCGGCGCTTAACTCTGCAGTGTCTGGGAATGGAAGTGCGGGCTTATCGACCTTGCCGTTCGGGTTCAGAGGCATGCGCTTAAGGGGAATGATAACGGTCGGCACTGCGTATGTAGGGAGCTTACTGCGCAGATGCTCACGAGCATCATCGCGGAGAGGACGGAAGCGTCGCAGCAGACCAACCATACCCTCAGAGTCAGAGTCATCGTCCTTAAGGCCCTTGCTCTCCAACCATGATGCCCACTTGTTCATATCAGGTACAAAGTAGCTGACCAACGTGGGTTCCTCGTCTTTATCTCTTCGCACCAAAGTCACGTTCTCACGGACCAGAGGGTGCTGGGAAAGATGGGTGTCGATCTCTCCGAGCTCAATACGGAAACCACGAATCTTCACTTGGTCGTCGGCGCGGCCAGAGCACTCAACATCTCCAGATGGCGTGTAACGGCCTAGATCACCACTGCGATAAAGGCGATCACGAGGACCAACGTAGAATTGCCGCCAGGGCTCGTTCTTAGATTCGGCTTGGTCTTTCTCTGTCCAGACTTCAGGCTGAACAAACCAGTTGGTAAGGAACTTCTTCGCACTCAATTCAGGGGAACCAAGGTAACCCTCTGCAAGACCCGCCGCACGAACGTAGATCTCACCGACCTCTCCAACAGCACACAGACGAGTGGGGTCATAGCGGTTGACAACCAGCATCTGCACATCCAACATTCCGCGACCAGCCATAATCACATCCTTCATATTGTTGAGGTAGCCCTCGTGGCTGGCGTAGCTAGGGATTTCAAAGTAGCTGACAGCGCGCTGGGTCTCGGTTGTTCCGTACATGTTCACAATGCTGACATTGGGCGCAAGTCCCTGGAGTGAGCGGCAGTCTCGCTTAATCAAAATGTCACCCACGAAGAATGCGTGGTGAAGAGCAGGGAATTGAGCAGAGGCACCACCGACAAGAATTTGACCCATGGCAGGTGTAAGGTGAGTGATGGTGGCACCGTACTTCTGCATCCATTCAGCAAGCTTTTCGTTTTGGATGTCCTCACGAGCGGGCACCAAAAGTTGAGCACCCAAGAACAACGGGGTGAAAATGTCTCTCTGGATAGGATCGTGAGCGATACCACTCAGCATAGTAAATTTATCGTCTGGGGTGAGCTTGAAAGTCTCAGACATCCAAGGGAAATAATAGGCCAGAGAGAAGTGTCGGCCACGGACACCCTTCGGCCGGCCTTCCGAGCCGGACGTGAAAGACAGGGTCGGAATAGAGTCAGGGCCGACGATGACACCAGTAGGCTTGGACTTCAGTGCCACATCGTTGGCGAATACATCCTGACCATTGACGGATCCACCGGCGAGGGTTCCATCATCGAGTAGAGCAAGTGCGGGAATTTCAGTGCGGAGTTCAAGATTTTCGTCGATGAAAGTACGCACGATGTCCGAAAGTTCACCTGCATCTTTTGTAGCCTTGGCAATGTTCACCAAAGCGCGAGGACGGGCAACATCAAGGTAGATGTTCTGACGTTCTGGGGGATAGGCAGGGTCAATAACGGAGAAAGTCGCACCGGCTTTCAGAATTCCCATGACAGCAACCACCAAGTCCACGCCACGGTAGGCATAAACCATGACAACCTCTCCCCGTTGAATGCCAGACCGTACTAAATGATGGCCGAGGATGTTGGAGGCCTCGTTGATTTGGCGATAGGTGAACTGGCGGTGAGGGGAGCTGGTTGACGGGGTTTCAACCACACACAGCTTGTCTGGGTGGCTTTCCGCATTGGCAGTGAAAATGTCGTGGATGGCACCACGGAACTTAGACCAGTTCAAGTTGGATGTTGGGTCGGGCAAGAGGGCGCGCTGATCTTCGGTCATCAAGTCGATACGTCCGATAGCCTCGTCCGGCTTGGCAGCAGCATTGCGAACGATACTGGCTAGTTGCTTCAAAATGAAAGCAATACGGGCACTCGAGAAGAGACGCTGATTGTAGTATGCGCCCAATTCGACCTCGGTCGAACCCGGTGCAACGTTAACCACCAAATCAGTGGTATCGAAGGTGTTTGCAGGGTAATCCTGGGAGGCAGCAGGGGCATCATACGCGGCGAATCGAAAGAGGACCGGGGTGCGTTCGGACTTGGACTTCTCCTGTATATACGAGCGAAGGCTGACCAAGGGCACGATTTGGGAAGACCCCTCCTTAAAGGCCTGCAAGGCTTTTAGTAGTGAATCCTATAACAAGTAAAATATATACGGACCTTGTCTACTTTGGTATATAGCTGGGCAAATGACTCCGAGGCATCAATGGGAACTCGGATGACGAAGGCACGGCCATCCTCGCTGGAGTTTGTGCCCACAGCGATGTCCTCATCACCAGCCAATCGCGCTACCAGTATAATGAAGGCAGTTAAGAAAGCGGTGAATCCGGATGACGACGCCTCAAGCTTCTCCTTGGGGAATCGCAGAGACTCAAAAGCTTCAATGACTCTCTTGCCGTCGGTCTCTTTTGTATCGGGATAATCTCGGGTCAATGGGGAAACAGTCAGATTGTTCAACCTTTGTGCCCATATCTCCAGGCGGTCCTGCAAAGAGGCTGTTCCCACAGCCATGATTGCAGTATATTCAAAAGAGTTGGAGAATGGAAGATACGGTGACTCAATATTAAAATTACCCCCCCATAACGAGCGGAAAAGTCCGATCTCGCCGCTATTTCTGCCAATGAGAATTGAGGCGCTGATCAGCTGTTTTCCCCACAGAGGGTTCACCGCCTGCCAAGATTGGACAGCGGGGTGGCGTCGGAGTTAAGGTTTTTCCAGCCAAGAGCGGCACAGATTGGCAGAACTGGAGGAGTACAGGAGATCTACGTATACTCATTCCCTTTGTCTGATTCCTCCATTGGATACTCACATTGACAACGTTGAGACTATTTTGCTCTATACAGCCATTCTTGGGGTGCTAAGAGTAGACATTTAACTATCGCAGAGGTCTCATTCTGGTGAAGAGGGCATATAGACAGAAGACGAATGTACAACATACAACATAACATATGCCAGCCCAAGATATGTGTGGATAACTTAGTGGAATATCCTTGATGTATATCTCACTTTGCAAAGCCTTCACATCACTAGCTGTACTGGTTTAGATCAAAGCTACATACAGCGACATAAATATGTTCCTACTAGTTGCTTGTAAACGAACACAATATAATATGATCAGGAACATAATTGTAAAGTATCTTGATCATCGTAAGAGAGATACCGGAATATTTTGAGCATAAATCTGGTTGTTAAGAGTTTCTATGTCGTAGAGGTTCGCAGGTCTCATTCTATGAGGTCATTTATAATAGGCTCGCTGAGTCATCATTTCTTTTTGATCTCAAAGTAAGGAACTACCATCCCCGTCCTAGCTCCTAAGATTGTTATCAAAGGCTCTATTTTGTATTTGGCTCATCATTAGAAGCCAGTGAATTCTATTCTGAGCAAGAGATTCAGATGGAAGTTGTGCTGAGTTCTCTTCATACCTATCGTCATTCTTTCGCCAAGACTGAATTGGCCAAATCCGGGTGGAGTTTCAGGAGAAGTGTCGCAGTTTAAAGACACACGTGTTTTCTCAACTTTTGACGGGCCTCTACACAGGTCCTCTGGTTTGAATGCTAGAAAGATGATTCCTCACAGGAGTACAGCCCTCCTGTCTGTAATTGTGTTCGTCGCGCTTTTACTCTTCATTTTCTCGTCATCTCCGATCCCTGATCCCGGCGAGCAACCAGCCACAGGCCCGGCCAAGTTCGTGCCCACACCAAAGCTACCCTCATTAAGCAACTTCCACCTACCCTCGTTCCGCCCTCCCTCCCATGAGCAGCCCGAAGAACAGAACAACAGCACACACGGCGAGTCGAAATGGTACAGCACCCTAGAATGGTTGAACCCATTCTCCTCTGCCATCACGTTGGATGAGACTCGCTCCGTCCTCCCTCCCCTTCGCGAACGTCGACCGATCTACACATACTACGATGCGAAATATAACCCCAACAAAGCCAATGGCAAGGATCTCAAGGAATTGCAGAGCGCCGATGCGGAATTGCTCCTCGCGTGGCGTCGGGCATGGTTCGCGCAAGGATTCAAGCCTGTGGTGTTGACTCCGGGCGATGCAATGAAGAACCCGAACTACGAAATTGTCCAGAAGTGGAAACTCGCGCCCAAAACTCAGAACGAGGTGTTCGCCTGGCTTGCGTGGGGGCACATGGGCACGGGCTTGCTCGCGGATTTCCACTGCTTCCCCATGGCGCGTTATGATGATTTCATGCTGTCGTATCTTCGGCGGGGGAGTATCCCAGAGTCCATTACCCGATTTGAAAACCTTAAGAATGGCCTTTACGCGGCTGAAAAGTCGCAGATTGATGCAGCCGTTCAAAGCGCAGTCCTGAAGCTCGATGATAAAACCCAGTCCTTCGTTGATCTGATTGATCCGGAATCGTTCAAGGTTGAGCCGCCGACCGCTTTGGCGTTCTACAAATCTGCAGCCATTACCTCTGGCTACTCTGCCGTGCACGAAAAGATGACCGAGAACGCTGCGAGTGGTCAGTTGGCTCTTGTCCAACTGATCAACGCCCACCTCCATAATAAATTCCATAGCTCCTTCCCCGCCGGGCTGGCTGTGCTGAAGCCGTTCCCTCAACACACTACTGCCCTGGTGGAGCCTGCTCTTAGGCTGGCAAAGGCCCTTATTCAGTGCCCGGAGTCGCCCATTCCCGACTCCTGTCCACCCAATGACCCCGAATGCCGCCCATGCGGGTCTGGGACTGCAAAGCAACCCATGCGTATCAGCCAGCCTTCGACCTATAAAAACACCACCTTCTTGTTCACCATCGGCACCCTTCCTCATCCCTACACTCTTATCAGCCTTCAGAGGAACTCAGAGCAGATCACTACAGCACAAGTTCGCCGGGAGACCGAGCGCGACGCATGGCTCTCTGAGGTGACCAAAAAACACCTTGGGCCCGAATTGGGCTCTTCATACCGGGGAGTGATCTTCAAGCAGGTTGTCGCAGGCGAAGATGCTGTCGGAACTTCGTTGTGGATGACAGTGGAATCTCTTCCTGCAGAGGCAGGCCAGAGTCTTCCGGCAGAGCTCTTGGACGAGTTTGAATGGCAGTTTGGCTTCAAGATCCCTCGTGGGGGTAAGATTGATCCGGCCACTGAGAACGACATAGAGTCTACCAAGAGTGCGCAGGATAACACGCCAAGCGAGCAAGGAGTCGGCAAAGAATATGAACTCATCCAAAAGGCCCGCGAGATAATTAAGAATAAGGAAACGACCGGCATCAATATCAAAGATGTTGTCGAGGCTTGGAACCTTGCAGACACAGAGGTTTGGCGTTTTGTTAAGGCCTATCGGTAAGTCGTTGCCTTGTATCTAATGTCTCACAGGCTGTTGCTAATCCCGCATTCTACAGGGCTCGAAGCGTCGTTGAACGGCAGAAGTGGGAAGATGAAGAGAAACCTTTTGCTGGCTCGAGACCGTGAGCGCGCATTTATGGGGATACCATCTACGAACCATTTCTTTCATATATGTATTGTAGCTTCTTTTTTTTTTTTTGGTTGGCGTAATTCAAATATAGAAATTTAACTGGACAGATATTCAAGCCTTACCTACGGAGTACGCATGAAGTTTTTAGTGCTCATGCCTTGCCACTTTTTGCCTACTGCCCCAGCCAGCCCTCCACGTCAAGCGACCCATTCGAAATAGTCGCGAATATTGAGAGAATCAGCCGATGATATGGGATTGTTGCAGGCTATTGTTCAAACCTCGATTTCCTAAGGCTCCCACAGCAGCTCATAGGCCCCGTGCAACCCAAGGCAACAGGCATTTCTGAGTACAAAACAGGTGATGGAGGACGACCTGGATATCTCACATCTCTGAATCTGCTCATCAGATAGTACGCACAGCCCATACTGAGGCTGAGTTCCCAAGCTTGCTGTCTATCATGAAATTCGATATCTCCAAGATCGATAACCACCACTTGTCCATTGGCACAGAACAGAAAATTACCTAGGTTCAGGTCATAATGCTCAGCTCCGAGCTTGTAAGACTCCCCGAAAGCATTCTCAAGAGATAACTCCAAAGTCTCCTCTTCGATATTTGATTCGACTTGTTTCGCGAGCTCGCGCAGAGTAATGCCTTCAATCTCTGAAAGGATCAAGGCCTGACGCCTATTGAAAGAGCCTTCGCCAAAATAGAACTGAGAGGACAGTCCCTTGAAGCTTCTGCAACTTAGTATAGGAAGATATTTCACTGCAGAACTCAGCTTCCCGTTCGTCTTTTTGTTGCTTGACAATGACTCTTTCTGGAAGTCCAAAACGGGGCTCCGCGAGTTCTAAGCGGTGTACGGTCGGACGAATCTTGTTTAGCAGCGTATCGTTCGTCACGGCGATACATTTGTCGCCAAATTAGATCATCTATGTTGTGTGAGTTAGCCAAATCATCCACTGTGTATGATAAGAGCTTTACCAAGACTGGGCATCCATGGGCGCGATAGAAAAGGTCAAAGGTGGAAGAGATGGGAAAGCTCTCCCGCTGCCTGTCCCCAACCATTTAATCCCAAGGCCCTGTCTATTCTATTTCTGACTAGCTGCCTACATGCAGCTTATGTGAAATATGTGCTCTGTACGTACTGTTGGTAGCAACTAGTAATTCCAGCCAAACTATTGGTCCAACGCGCAATCCGATGGTCATCCGACTGCTCGGACAGTGGCGATCCCCGCATAGATAACGACCTTGGAAACCTTGGACCTAAAGACCTTTGATTACCGAGTTTTGGAGATCTGATTTCATCTAGACCTTTCCTCCTACAATACTGACATCTCGAGACTTCACTAATATATCCACGTCGAAGCCAACTCGTTCTAAAAGATGCGCATCTCAAGTCGCCCTTGAAAGCTTATCTCTACTTATCGGTACCCCACATTTCCACTATGGCGCCGGGAATCCTGGAGACGGAGTCCACGGGCGCAGTCGAGAAGCCCATCAGCCTGTCTGCGTTGACTGAGGACTGGGATGACACTATTCGGTTCTATCTCAACGGCACCAAGGTTGCACTAGACACGATAAACCCGGAAGTGACTCTACTCGAATACTTGCGGGGTATTGGGTTGACAGGCACGAAGCTCGGATGTGCCGAGGGAGGCTGTGGTGCTTGCACTGTGGTGGGTTTCAGTCAACTATCTCGGGTTATGCATATACATAGTGCTAACTAGAGCGTTATACCGTCAATAGGTCGTCTCCCATATCAATCCGACAACGAAGAAAATCTACCATGCCTCCGTGAATGCCTGTATCGCTCCACTCGTTAGCATTGATGGTAAGCACGTTATCACAGTCGAAGGGATTGGGAATGTGAAAGATCCCCACGCCATCCAGCAGCGGATTGCGGTCGGCAATGGAAGTCAATGTGGTTTCTGTACTCCTGGAATAGTCATGGTACGCCTTTATGCTCTTTTCGCTGGCTTCCATTTTTGAAGGGATCCGAGGTTGACTAATAATTTCAAGTCTCTTTATGCTTTGCTACGAAACAATTCATCTCCCTCGGAACACGATGTTGAAGAAGCCTTCGATGGAAACCTTTGCCGCTGCACGGGTTACAGACCTATTCTGGATGCTGCCCAGAGCTTCAACTCGACCAACAACTGCGGAAAAGCCTCTGCGAATGGTGGTTCGGGCTGCTGTATGGAGAAAAATGGATCCGGTGGCTGCTGCAAAGGGTCCACCAAGAATGGCGAGATTGAGACTGTCGATTACAAGTTCCCTGCGCCAGAATTCAAGCCGTACAGTCCAGACACAGAGTTGATCTTCCCTGTCGCCCTGCGGAAACACGAATACCGACCCTTGGCATATGGCAACAAGAAGAAGAAGTGGTACCGACCGGTGACCGTCGAGCAATTGTTGCTGATCAAGAGCGTCCACCCAGATGCTAAACTAATTGGCGGAAGCACGGAGACACAGATTGAGGTTAAGTTCAAGGCAATGCGATACGCGGCCTCCGTCTACCTGGGAGATATCCCCGAATTGCGACAATATACCTTGCACGACAACTATCTGGAGATCGGCGCAAATGTGTCTTTAACAGACCTCGAACACATCTGTGACCAAGCGGTAGAAAAGTACGGCGATATCAGAGGCCAACCTTTCAAAGCAATCAAGAAGCAGTTGCTCTATTTCGCTGGGCGACAGATCCGAAACGTCGCTTCCCCGGCGGGTAACCTGGCCACTGCATCGCCCATCTCTGATCTTAATCCGGTTTTGGTAGCCACTAACACTATCCTCGTGGCCCAATCCCTCGAAGGAGAGACTGAAATTCCAATGACCGAATTCTTCCAAGGATACAGAAAGACTGCCCTCGCTCCCAACGCGATCATTGCTAGCTTGCGCATTCCAGCCGCGAAGGCTCAGGGAGAGCACATTCGAGCCTACAAGCAATCTAAGCGGAAGGACGATGATATTGCCATTGTCAACTCCGCCTTACGCGTGACTCTTTCTAAGACCAATGATGTGGTCAGCGCCAATCTTGTGTTTGGTGGCATGGCAGCTATGACCGTCTCAGCAAAGAATGCCGAGGCGTTTTTGGTTGGCAAGAAGTTCACGAACCCCGCAACTCTAGAGGGTGTCATGAGCGCACTGGAGCAGGATTTCAACCTGCCATTTGGAGTTCCTGGTGGTATGGCTAGTTATCGGAAGTCTTTGGCTCTGGGATTCTTCTACAGATTTTACTACGACGTACTTTCAGAACTCGATGTCAAGGCTTCGGATTTAGATCCAGATGTTGTTGCTGAGATTGAAAGAGCAATTTCTACAGGAGCTAAAGACCTTGAAAGCTCTGTCGCCTACCAACAGAAGATTCTTGGACGAGCGACTCCGCATGTTGCGGCGTTGAAGCAGTCCACCGGAGAGGCTCAATACACAGATGACATTCCTGTGCAACAGAATGAGTTATTCGCGTGCATGGTTCTGTCCACCAAGCCTCATGCCAAAATCCTTAGCGTTGACCCGTCCGCTGCATTGGACATTCCAGGTGTTGCAGACTACATTAACCACACGGATCTTCCGAATCCCAAAGCAAATTGGTGGGGACAACCCAAGTCCGATGAGCTTTTCTTTGCCGTCGATGAAGTTTTTACTGCTGGTCAACCGATTGGTGCCATTCTAGCGACCAGTGCCAAAATCGCCGAGGAAGGTATGAGGGCTGTCAAGGTCGAATATGAAGACCTCCCGAGTATCCTTACGATGGAGGAGGCCATTGAGGCGAAGTCTTTCTTTGACCACTATCGCTCGATCAAAAATGGTGATACCGAGGAAGCGTTCAGAAAAGCTGACCACGTCTTTACTGGAGTCTCGCGAATGGGTGGCCAGGAGCACTTCTACCTGGAAACCCAAGCATGTGTGGCGATTCCAAAGCCGGAGGATGGTGAAATGGAGATTTGGAGTGGTACCCAGAATCCCAACGAAACGTGAGTAGCGATATATTTGACTCTGTCTTATAACAGAATTTAAGCTAAGCGTGTACAGACAAGCCTATGTCGCTCAGGTGACAGGAGTATCTGCGAACAAAGTTGTATCGCGCGTGAAGCGACTTGGTGGTGGCTTTGGAGGCAAGGAGTCTCGATCTATCCAGCTGGCTGGTATTTGTGCCATTGGCGCTGCGAAAACAAGACGGCCCGTGCGATGTATGCTCAACCGTGATGAAGATATTTTGACTTCTGGTCAGCGGCACCCGTTCCTCTGCCATTGGAAGGTTGGTGTGACGAAAGAAGGAAAACTCCTTGCTCTTGATGCAGATGTATACGCCAATGGCGGTCATACGCAAGATCTATCCGGTGCTGTCGTGGAGCGAAGCTTGTCACACATTGATAACGTTTATAAAATACCGAATGTCAATGTGCGCGGCTGGGTCTGCAAAACCAATACAGTATCAAACACAGCTTTCCGTGGTTTCGGCGGCCCACAAGGCTTGTTCTTTGCCGAGTGTTATATATCGGAGATTGCAGATCGTCTGGATATTCCGGCCGAAGAGATTCGGGCCATCAATATGTACAAGGCAGGTGAGATGACGCATTTCAACCAGCCTCTCAAAGATTGGCACGTGCCTTTGATGTACAAGCAAGTGCTAGAGGAGAGCTCTTACAAGGAGCGTCGGAAGGCTGTCGAGGAATACAACGCGCAGCACAAGTGGTCCAAACGCGGAATGGCGATTGTGCCAACCAAGTTCGGTATTTCTTTCACAGCTCTCTTCTTGAACCAAGCAGGAGCTTTGGTTCACATCTACCACGACGGCAGTGTCCTCGTAGCACACGGTGGTGTTGAAATGGGACAAGGCCTTCACACAAAGATGACCATGATTGCCGCCGAAGCACTGCAAGTGCCGCAGTCGAACGTCTTCATTTCGGAAACAGCGACCAACACAGTGGCCAATGCCTCCTCAACGGCCGCCTCGGCAAGCTCCGATCTCAACGGCTACGCGATTTTCAATGCCTGTGAAGAATTAAACAAACGCCTACGTCCCTTCCGCGAGAAGATGCCCAACGCCACCATGAAAGAACTAGCCCACGCAGCCTACTTCGACCGTGTCAACCTCTCCGCACAAGGCTACTACCGCACCCCGGATATCGGCTACGTATGGGGCGAGAACAGCGGCCAGATGTTCTTCTACTTCACGCAAGGAGTCACGGCATCCGAAGTCCAAATCGACACACTGACCGGTGACTGGACGCCTCTACGCTCCGACATAAAGATGGACGTAGGTCGCAGCATCAACCCCTCAGTGGACTACGGCCAGATCGAAGGCGCCTATGTCCAAGGACAAGGTCTCTTCACCACCGAAGAGAGTCTCTGGCACCGAGCCTCGGGCCAGATATTCACCAGAGGCCCGGGAAACTACAAGATCCCCGGCTTCCGTGATATCCCGCAGGTCTTCAATGTCAGTTTGCTTAAGGATGTGGAGTGGGAGAACTTGCGCACGATTCAACGCTCGCGGGGTGTCGGCGAGCCGCCCTTGTTTATGGGTAGTGCGGTCTTCTTTGCTATTCGTGACGCTTTGAAGGCGGCGCGTAAGCAGTGGAACGTCACTGACGTGCTCTCTTTGGAGTCCCCTGCCACCCCCGAGCGGATTCGGGTTAGTTGTGCGGATCCGATCATCGAGCGCGTGAGAGTGCATCCTAAGGAGGGGGAAAAGAGTTTCTTTGTTGCCATATAGTGGTTGTGCATTTGTAACGATTTGTATGAGATTATGCCTTTCTCGGGTTTTTGTTTAGCATATCCAGACAGACAAGTACATTGATATTTTTTCTATCTTTGTTTATGAATTCCGATCTCGTAAGGTGTTTTGTATGAGATGTGAGAAGAGATATGATTTAAGATGATGTTCAACACGACTTGCATATTTTTGAAATCAAGTGGCATTCTTGATTTCAAATATTCTACTGAGAATTATTATGACAGAAAACACCCAACATATGGAAACAAATGACCAAGGCAAGTCCAATGAAATGCCAGAGATGACACAAAGAGAGAGGGGGAGGACAAAGAGCATAGTCCTCTCGAGAATAGCGAAGATCAAAAAAAAAAAGATGGAAGAAGACGGGAATATATTTCCCATCATCGCTTCACATCATATTCAACATAGCTACTTCCCCTCAGATCAGGACCCGAGTCCAACTGCAACGCCCTTTCCCCTGCAAAACCAACCTTCTCATTACCATATGACGACGGCTCACTCCGCACGGGCACGGGGGGTGCCGCCGCCGTATACTGGGGAGCAACATGCCCATCTGCAGACATATTCCTCGGAATAGCCGTGAGTGGAACTTCAGCAAACCCATTCGCATCATGGGGTGGTGGTCCGCCTCTAGGCACAGAATCTAGGATATGACCCTTGCCTCCCTCGCCGCGGTGTTTGTCGCGCGTCCAGAAAAGCATCATAGCGCGAGTTATACCAATCAAGGCGATGAACACCCAAAGCAAGAGAATGATGGTGGCGATGATGGCTTCGATTCGCAGGCCTGCTTCCAGTTTGTTGATCACGCTAGTGACGACCTCGGTGATTTTGTTAGCGGTTTGATCGCCTGCATCGGCGAGGAAGCTATCGGAGGGATTGGAGGTGTCGTTTATGCTGGAGGCGGCACCGGCAGAGAATGTATCATTCGGGAGAGTGGGAAGGGTGATGTGTGCGTGCTCGGCTACCCAGTTTAGACCCTTTTGGAGGGCCTCTGCTTTGAGGCCGATGAGGCACTCGTATAGCTCGTAGACGGGCTCTTGCAGAAGGGTGCCTTTGAAGGTCTCGTTTAGAACGCTGGATGTGTTGTAGATGAAGAAGTTGAGAGTCCCGTTTATGGCTTGCGTGCTGCTGTTCACCCAACCGAAGACGTTGTGGTTGAGGTCGGTGTCAAGATTAACGATGGCCTTGTTTGCATCGGTAGCCCAATCTGTTGAGGCGCTTTCCAGTGCGTCCACGACTTTGTCTGCGAATTCTCCTACCTCGGCACTCAGTGCGGGAACGATTTTCTTCACCGAATGCAGGAGCAGGTATTGGCACAGACAAGAAAATAGTGCTGCCAATGCAAGAGCCAGTACGAAAAGAGCAGGCATGGATGTTGCATAGGCAATGGCCCATCGCACGAGGATCTGCCGCCGGCTGTTGCTGAAGTGACTTGCTGCCTTGATGCCTGCAGAGGCGGTATATGGCCGTGAGACAATATAGACAACGTCCATTGGATCGTGGGCTTCCCTGCGAACCAACTGGGAGCGTTCTTTCATTGAGCGCCATCGGCGGATTTCTTGCCACGCGATCGGAACGCACACCAATATGGCAGCAATGACGAGAACAATAATGAATATTTGGCGTGCCTTTAGTGCCAGCGCAGTGACTCCGTTGAAGAAATCATTTATTCCTTTGTTGTCGTTGCAGAAGGTCAACTGTTTTTTGGCAGGGATCGGGAGAGCGGACCGATCAAAACTGTAAGTGCCCAAAGTTTCATTTACCAAATTTTTGACTTCTTGAAAGGGCGTTTCGAAGAGAGTCTTGGTGTAATTCTGGATCTCTTTGAAGTTGGGAAGGACAAGGCTGTCTAATTTTTCGACCGTCCGGTTGACTGACGACGGAAGAGACAGATTCTCCAGCGTAGTGATTGAGCTGTTGAGGTCGATTGGACTAGGATCGTCCGAGAATACGCTGGCAACTTTATTGATTGTCTCGAGAAATGAGTTGAGTTCGTCCTTGTATTTGTCGACGGTACTCTCAATGTCACCACTGATTGTCGTGAGGGTTTTGTTGATCCACTCAGTAGCTTCCTTGATCAATTCAATGCCGGCTCCTACCGTGCCACGGACGGCCATCGTAATGAGACAGGCGTAGGTAGAGTACATCATATTGATGACGAACCATAGAATCTCTCCGACGCCCGTGATAGTCAACAACAACACGGACTTCAGGGCGGAAACAGCCTCATCAACCGAGGAAGCCACAAGCTCGTTGGTACCCTTGGATAGATAGTATGGCATTGACGCCATCGCGCTACCCATAGACTCCACTGACGTGCATGCAGAGAGCGCCTCACGCTTGGCGGATGCCATGTTGGACTGCAAGTCGCCAACTGCAATCAACACTCGGAAGAGAACAAGCAGTAGAAGTATTGTCCATCGATTGATCCATACTTGTGAAAGCCGAGCTTGCAGACCGAGATAGGGAGTGAGGCCATCTGGATGTAGGGGAATTATCCGCCCCGTGCTTGAATCGTGAGCTCCATAAGGCGGGAGCAGTGGAAAGACCGACCGACCGGTTCGAGTGAATACCATTGTAAGGATTCTTTTTTTATATTTGTCAAATGTTTCAGGCGTGATATCGTCCAGCGAGGACCAGGAATGTTTGGAGGTGTAGTTGGATCAAGGAAATATGCAAAGCCTGCATCAAAATGGAGATTTCTCAAAGGATGATAAAGAGAGCAGAGGAAAAAGTCGAGCTAGTGGAAGGACATGGTATATATGATTTCTTATAGACGTTGAATGAAAGGGGGCATCAATAGATGAATAGACCGGGTAGACTGAGAACAATAGAACCAGAATAAAACAAGGGACAATGAATCTTCAAATATAGCAGGCGACGAACGTCACCTGGAAATGGTCAGCATCCCGGGCGGCAGCAGACATCACAATAGCCCAATGTTGCTCATAAAGAAGCAGCTTCATGGACCTTGGCAACCCCGTATAGTCGAGACAGCCCCAATCAGAGTGAACCATAACCATCTCGAAACAAAGAAAATATAAAAATAAAGCCTGAAGACAAGGGGTCTGTGCAACGGTTTGTTTCATGAAGTATCAAAGCATCTCACTGGCTACTGTGAGTGTCGAAAGCGCCGGAGTGGACAAGCAGCCAAATATAGCCTCCATGGGCGCTTAGCCGCCCACGACTGAGAGCCAATAGCCGGACAGCGAGGGCTGGTTGATCTAACATCATGTCTGTACCCCGTACGGATATTTTTATCCTGTGTCATGTAGGTAGATGAGACGTATGTTGTTGGCATTTCTATGGGGGTTTGTTTCTGCTATGGCTGTTGCCGCTCAACTCGGTGACTTGGTGTGAATCGATGCATAGACTCGCCCACTCAAGTGCAGAGCATAAATTCCATGTATACAACTTTTGGTAATCGAACGATAAGTAATCATATTGCAATATGTTCCATCGTAATAATGGGTTATTTAGCCAGTCCACCAAAAGGTCAGTGTGTGAAATAGGTCCTCGATGCTTATTTGACTTGTGGTCGCTGAAGAGAAGCGTCACGTGTTATTATTCACTGAGTCGGTAAGAAACGTGACCACACGTGACAGACTCGCACCCTAACGACTTGCAAACGCAACAAGGTGAGCTCCCATTTGACCTCTTGGGTTTTGTTTATGTATAATACAACAATAATCTTTGATTACTCTACTAGCCTTCCGTGGTATATTTTTCAATCTCTTCTCAAGGAGTATGCTTCAGGTGTGTTTCCGTGACTTCTACGTAAGGAAGATTGACAATAAGCACCATTCGCCTCAGATATGAAACTATCCCCCTAAACCTATAGCTAAGAGATGATAAAAGTAGTTCAAGGAAATGCTTGTTTTGCTCCCCGAATCTTCCTCCGAGCCTTCATGTCAGTTTTTCGACATCGTTTTTGTTTTAGTTGGGTGTCGAGCAAAAGCTCAGGTCGAGGACATGGCTGCTTGGCGTCTTGAACCCTCCATGTCGGTTTTTTTTGTTTCTGGTGTAAGGCAGGTGTTGAGCAGAAGTTGCTCTTGTTGGAGACCCATAGCCAGCAAGACCAACTGAAGGACATCATGCTTGTTTCGTGTCGTGAAGCCTCCTCCGAGCCTCCATGTCAGTTCTTTGACCTCGTTTTAGTGTAGCTGAGTTTCGACCAGAAGTTGCTCCCGTGGGCTTTCTATCGCTGATAGCTTGAATGGTGCGGAAGGAACATAACGCTGGCATCACAAGGAAGTCTCATAGGTGGTATCGGGATGTTTGTTCAATACAATACTTCGTATTGCGTATTGATTCTTTTGGGTAGGAAATCGACATAATTTTTTGTTCTGGAGCAGATTCGATTTGAGGCTCTGAAGCCACAGCATAAGTAGCAATCGGAGCCTTTTGAAGACACCATCGAAGAGCTTCGAACTTATGCTCAAATGCCTTGAACTGTGTGGGATGAGTTACATGTGTGTGTCCTCATTTCTGTCCCAATCGCCTGGTCAGTATCAATTACCGGTCGAAGGCTCAGTGGCAGTATCACGTGCACAGCTTGTTTGTATCCATTGTTGATTGTTGTCGAAGCTCGAAGGTGGACCATTTTTTGCTTTGTCAAATTTCAGAGCCTATCTTTTTTTGGTGTCTTTCTTTCTCTCCATCCTGTTCCCTTCCCGAGCTTCTTCCCTTCAACCCTTCCCACCCCGCAAACTCAATAGCTTTGGTTCGTGCATATCACTCCCCATCTCTTTGAGGGATCAACACCATTGTATCAGAGAACAAAAGCTCATTTCACCTCATAGTGCATGCTATCAACGCTTTGAAAACTCACAAAGTAATTTCTCGCGCAGTTTCACGCGTTGGAGCTTCACCAACGCCCAAGGACCTTGGCTGATGATTCAGGATAGCTTCCACAATATTTCCTGTGACATCAGACTTACAGCTTTCCAGTATCCCAAGGACACATCTTGGTAAGTAATCTATATTGGAGGCGTCATCACATCTCCTCACGATCTCGAAGACCGATCTTGCAAAGACGGATTACCTGCCTTGCATTTGACTGACGTATCCTGCAGCGAGGTACCTTCCTTAACAACCTCGAGAACCACTCAAGGCTAAAGAGAGCCTTTTGAACACCTCGACATGCCCATTTCCCAAAGTGAGCCCATGTCAGAGAATTGGATGGATAGACAGGCCGGGATCACTTTGGGGAATGGGCAGTTGAGACTGAAGATTCACAACTGGAGGACCCCTACCCTGACATTTGCCATAGAGAATAACCCCAATGGTAACCTCAAGTGCGACCTTGAGGCCGGCATTGAAAACTCCGAGATCATCCGCGTTGACTTCAGGATCCCCATCAATTACCCAGACGGCATGATGGGGATTATGGGCTCGATCGAGGCACTATTCGAGTGCCCCAAAAGGATTGCCATGAGCAATATCGAGACTGGTCCTGCACCGGCTCTTCGAGAGTCAAAGAACATGGAAAGACATAGTTACCATATCAAATGGACAACTCCATGGGAGACATCCAGCTGCCAAGTAAGTTGGATGAAAGCGAAAGAGAAATTGCCCACCATGAAGTTCAAGTTCGTGAGTGGTAGGATCAGAAGACCTGTAGAGCAGATGATCGTCACCGTTGATGAGCGTGACAAGTTTTATCAAAAGATCTCTAAGAAAGACCCTGTCAGTATAAAACCTTCACCGATATTCTTCGGCTTTAACTAACAAATCACAGAACACTTACGGCAAATGGATGGCATATCCGGTCCAGATTTGGCTGCGCATTCAATGGCTGATGTCAAGGACAAAAGACATAGACAAAAAACTGTTTGACAAGTTGCTTGTCGATGAAACTTCCCGTTTCTCCATTCAGAAGAAGATCAAAGGGAATAAGGCATCAAAGAAATCCCCAAAGAGGGTCCCCGAGCATTCCACAGTCGAAGAAGAGAACTCTGAGGAAGAAAAGCCAGATGCGTCAGTTATGTCACATCCAGAACAGTCATTGCTAGGGCGAGAACATACGATAGAGACAATGGGAAGTCAAAAGTCGACCCAGAAACAGGCCCCTTATGAAGAGGCAACCCAGGAAGAAGCGACCCAACATAAGTTGAGCCATGAGTTGAACCAGTATGAGTTGACTGAACAAGAGTCAGCACAGCATGGGGCGACCCAGAAAGAGTTGACCAAGAAGGTCTCTGCACTCACGATTGATACTCAAAAGAGCAACAAGAGGTACAAGGGCAAGTGTAAGGGAAAGGGAAAGGGAAAGTGCACGCCTGGTTTGTCTAGCTCCAACACAGGAAAGAGGGATGTAGGAAAGAAGAATGTAGGCCGCATCACAGACCGTATTACAGAGCAACGTGGTAGCGACCAGCACGGCAGCGACCAGCGTGGCGACCTACTTCCGGGAGTGCATGGCATCGCTCTACAGGAAGTCCCGATTAAGCAGCAACTTGCGGCAGTTGCTGGCCAACAAACACAAACAATAAGCGATCCCGCGTTCCCTACTACGCCCAATGACTTGACTGCCCCATTGTCTCCATCATTCGAGACAGCTCGAACCCACCTCTCCCCTCGTACTTACCTCCCCTCATCCACAATGTCATCTTTCTGCACACCTACGAGCGCCTTGTGGAGAATAGATGAGGATGATGGCGAAGAGTCGGTGGAAGCGGAAGAGAACGAGCCAGCAGCGACTTCAGATGAGCTATTCTTGACTCCACAGGGAGGTGAGGCTGGGCTTCGGTGCCCTGTCTCGAACAACAGGGACAAGGTATGGTTTTCTGGTAAGCTCTTTACTATTTATATCGATGTTGATACACCTGTTGACTATTATATAGACCCTGAAGAGTACCATGGCGACCACGAGGCGCAGGAGCCGGTCTTGCATCGAAGTGAGTCTTTTAGTGTGGCCAGTCTAGGTATGCAATCACTTTTTATACATGTTTTTACTTGAATACAAGCTAACCGAGAACCATAGGGCTCTACAGGGGCCAGGAAATGACATCCTCGTCCCAAACGACCGACCCTCCATTGACCCCCCGTGCCTCGTCTGCCCTGTCTACCACAGACTCGGCTGAGTTTGGGATAGATGATCCCAGTTCAGATGGCGCCATCCAGCCATATGACCAAACTTCAGCTGAGTCTAGCCGACCCGGCAAGAGGATTGTCTACAAAAAGAAGAAGCAAGGTAAACGGAAGCTTCGGGAATTGATGAAGCGTCAGCAAGCTCGCGATGCGGACGTCGAGCTCCCCGTCTCTCCTGCTTCTTCTCAGACCAATGGAATGGAAGGTCATTCTCCGTCTCCACCCGAGTTGTCTGAGGATAATGAACTGACTCCCACAGTCAAGCAGTTCGGCAACACCGTGGCCCCACCCCCTGGATTACTGTTAGACTTGCGCACGCTCGGCGTTACTTGCCATGAGCCATTCTGCGAAGCCCTCTGTTGTCTGGGGGTTGGGGTCTCCGTTGTTTGCCCTAAGTGCGGACCGTTTTCCTTGGTCCGCTACTGCGGCAAGGACCACCTGTGGGAGGATGCCAAGAGACACTGGGTAGTTTGTACGCAGCTCCCGGTCCTGGAACAGTGCTTGGCCAGTTCGATCTCTCACGACCTTCTCGTGGGTCCACCAATGCTTCCCAACCTTCATCAGTGGGACAAACCTGAGCGCCATCGTCAGGCGCTGTGGTTCAGTTCTGCCCGCGACCGAGGTGACTACTTCGTGTTCGCGGAGTGGGACGACCTGGTGAAGGTTGAGGACGATCCAGCCAGTCATCTGCAGCTGCGATGTTCACCTCGAATCGCACATATTGTGCGGTTCGAGGACGCCGAAGAGAAGGACCGGTTCCGCCGGTGCCTTGCAATTTGTCTCTTCGGTAAGTTTTATATCACTCTGAGTCACCTTCAGCTTCACGCCACTCTCTGTTTCCTTGCATTTTGATATCATACAGCCCTCACCATTGCCTAACTTTCAGATCATATGCTAACTCTTTTTCTCTTCCAGCGGCGATTGAACATCCAGCCCTAGTGGACTTTCTTTACCGGCTTGTACGGGACTGGATGCGGGCTCACAATATGTGGGCCAGTGACAAGGACATGGACAGCATGCTGCGTTACCAGATGGGACTCGAGATGGGTGGCGCCATCGATCAGAGCCGTCTTGGTTTGCGGCATGCTTGTGAGACGGAGTGGATCGGTGCCGACCGACGCCACTGCGGGAATCTGATCTGCGCGAGCGAGCGTCGCCCAACGTTGCTCGGTAACCACGACATGGGTTTGGGCTTCCGGAAAGTGTGCGAATCCCTCGAATCCAAGTATTGGATTCTGAGGGCGCACCGAGCCACCCATCCATCGGTGAGCGACGTGGTGGCTCGCACGCGTGGCGGAGGATTCCCGGGGGTCCTGTCCGAGGACCGGCGGACATTCCACCGTGGTATCGGTTGGGACGGGGTGGGAGCGGGCCCCATGGAGCTGGAGATGCCGGGGTCAGGGTAGGGAGCCGTCCCCTCTCTAGCCCTAATTGTTTATACCGGGGTCCTGGACCTGGGGTAGCTGGTTTGGAGAGAGATATTATCAGTTCAGTCGGTGGATGCCCCCCAGGTTCAGGATGCCCATTTTTGTATTACGCTCTTGGTAGTGGCGTGGGGATAGAGGGGGAGTTGATCGCCCCCTGCGTTGTTTCTAGATTGAAACAAAGACCGTCGTGTGCTTGTGCCTTTGCCCTACTGTGCCTGGTTCTTTGTTCTCAGGTGCCGTAAGTTACGTAGGATTAGCTGTACATGAGTAAATATGGATGTACTAGTAGATTGATCATTAAGGAAAGATATATATATATAGCTGAGTTTGGATGTTACCAACGACGATGGCTGCTACGTGATCGAAAATGAACTTGGCATCATTGGCCGAATGTTGATTTTACAATTAACCAAGTAGGAAAAGACTCAATTAGACAGACCACTCCTGCCCTGTGGGAAAGAATTGGTTTTTGTGCACATATTTTGCAATTTTATATCCGATTTTCTATTGGCATCATAACACTTCTATGCATATCTCGTCACTTCTCACATATGAAAGGCCTATAGGTCTTTGTTTACTGGGTGATATACTTCTTCAGTCCCCTCAAGCGCTCCTTGGCAGTCTCAAGAACATCATCGTTCTTGCACACCGCAAAGCGGAGATAATCCTCAGCAATGAGGGCGTTGGCATCCGTGTAGAATTCAGTGGGAGGGATAGCAGCCACGCCAACCTCATGGATGAGGAACCAGCAGAGCTTGAAATCACGAGGCCGGCTAGCAACATGCGGCGGGAACGGATAGTCGGCCGGGAGCTTTACAGAGGCCAGGTTGGCAAGCACAAAGTATCCACCCTCGGGATCAGAGTACTGGAGAGATTGATGTCAGCAAAATCAATATATGGGAGAGTAGACTTGGCACATAGGGGTGAATAATCACATACCGGGATACCAAGCTCATCAAAGACCTCGCAGAACCGCTCAATTTTGCCCTTCATATCTGTTCGGCTCTCGTCCCAGAAGCCCTCTTTCTCTGCCTGCTCAAAAGCAACAGCAGCAGCTTCCTGCAGAGGAGACACACTGCTGTAACAGATACGGGTGTGCGCACCGGACACGTACTTGATCAGGTGCTCGGGGCCGATAAGGTACCCAACACGCCAACCAGTGGCGTAGAAAGCCTTTCCGGCGGAGCACACTGTCAAAGTGCGCTCGAACAACTCTGGGGACAGGGTAGCGATTCTAGTGTAGGGAACGTAGAAGAGGCGGTCGTAGACTTCATCAGACAATATGATAAGGTTGTACTTCACACACAGTTCACCAATGCACTCAAGCTCCTCGCGCGAGAAGACCTTGCCGACGGGGTTGTGTCTATGAATACAAAGTTAGTTGAGACCTCATTCGTCTCTGTAAATCAGGTCTGCTTACGGAGAGTTCAGAACCTGCTATAATTAGCTTGGATATTCATGAGAATCTTGGTATCGCATGCTTACAATCATCTTTGTCTTGGGGTTCATGGCCCTTTCGAGCTCCTCAAAGTCGATAGTCCACTCCGATGCAGGAGAGGTCTTGGTGGCACCATCCTTGGGCGGGTGGAGGGGAACATAGCGGATGGTACCGCCGGGCATCTCAATGTTGCTAATATATCTATTCCGAGTAAATTAGTATCCGCTCAATCCTCTCGCGGTGTTGGAGCTCCTTACTGATCAAAAAAGGGCTCGAAGATAATGACTTCATCACCATCCTCGATGAAGCCCATGAAGGCACTGAGCATGCCTTTATTTCGTCGCTTGTCAGCGCCAAGTATGCATTTATAGATAAACTATGCCGATCTCTCACCTTCATTTGCGCCGGTTGTGATCGTGACCTCGGTCTCGGGGTTCAGCTTCTTGCCAAAGAAGGGCGAGTAAGCATCCGCAATAGCCTGTCTGAGGCGGGGGCGACCCTATAATGTATGAGCACCTGTGTAACCATGCGCAGATTCGTTGGCGTTCTCTACCTTCGTCGGAGAATATTGATTGCATTCCACTCGGTCTAGCGCAGCCTTCGCAGCGTCAAGAGCGAACTTGGGAGGGTTATAGCCACTGCGCACAAATATTTCCCGTCAATTCCCATCCCTTGGGGTAATTGGGGGTCCTCGAAATGGTGTGACTCACAAGAATCCCTGGCCCATGTTCACAATCGGCTGAACTGGCGAAGCTGCGGCGGCTTCGTTGACGATTGACCTTGGATCTCAGTTTAGTATGTCTTTCCCAACTTCTTTTCCGAAACGGCATACCAAACATCCTGGCGCTGTCCTGCCACCCGCTGGGCGGGGCGAAATGGATCGGGTCGCGAAGCTGTAGCCGACATCGCTCTTGTGCTGTAACCAGGGCGGGGTAATGTCGAAAGGGCAGAGAGAAGGGTTCTAGACCTGCAATTCTGTGATTGAGCAAGGATGTGCCAAAAGGAGCGGGAAATCATGAGCGATATTGAAGGGAATAAGAGGAGAGAGGACAATAGATAGAGATGTCGGATTTCCCCACCATGGCGTGCTCCGCATTCGGCTCTGACGGCCCTCGGGACTTGTTTTTATATTCGGAGCATTCGGAGATTATACAGTACTTGCATGTACTTGTTGAGTAGATGTATGTAGTATCTACATATTCTACATGTCATGTTTTCATACAGTTAGGTAGATCTGTCATTTGCCCCATTTTCAGGCACCAAGGCCTCTTACTTACTAATTAACGCGTTGAACGCGTCTCACCCGCGGGTGGATGTTATCGCCTCGACGTTTATCTCACCTTGAAGTCTTTGAGTAACCTTGGAATCTAGTGAATGACCATATCATTCTCCGGTCATCATGGTTTCCTGCCCAATATGCGATCAATCTGTCTCCCAATTGAAGATCAATAACCACATCGACTCAGGCTGCCAGAGCTTCATCGAAGAACCGTCGTCTTCTCCAGGAGAGCCGGCATCCTCTCAGAAGGGACCAGTCCCAAGCATGTTTCAACCTCCGTCCGCGCGCAAAGCTTCTGCCCAGTCGAATATTCCGAAGGTGTCCCCGTCGCGTCCCACAACAACCCCACGTGCTCTCACCGGCAAGCGATCATTTACCGAGGAAGCAGAATCTACACGGGAGCGAGATGTGCTTAAGCAACCAAATGGTGAATCCAAAGAGCCGCAGGCAAAGCGTCCCAGGATCAACGCCTTCCACAAAGCAGCACCTCTAGCGGAACGCATGCGACCTAAAACCCTGGATGAGGTCTGCGGCCAAGAACTTGTCGGACCGAACGGCATCCTACGCGGACTCATCGAACAGGACCGAGTACCGAGTATGATACTATGGGGTAGCGCGGGAACAGGGAAAACAACAATCGCTCGAGTCATCTCGTCGCTGGTGGGCAGCAGATTCGTGGAAATAAACAGTACCAGCAGCGGCGTAGCAGAGTGCAAGAAGATATTTGCCGAAGCTCGTAGTGAGCTGGGACTCACTGGGAGAAAAACAATTATCTTCTGTGACGAGATCCACCGGTTTTCAAAGTCACAACAGGATGTGTTCTTGGGCCCAGTAGAGAGCGGCCAGGTCACACTGATCGGTGCCACAACGGAAAACCCATCGTTCAAGGTTCAAAATGCGCTGCTCTCACGTTGCCGAACATTTACTCTTGCGAAGCTCACTGACGAGGATATCACTTCAATCCTTCACCGTGCTCTCCGAGTTGAAGGCCCGAATTATTCGCCCTCCGAACTGGTGGACGAAGAGCTGGTTCAGTATCTCGCCAAATTTTCCGATGGAGATGCTCGCACTTCGCTGAATTTGTTGGAGCTTGCCATGGATCTGTCAAAAAGACCTGGAATGGATAAAGAGGACCTGAAACGATCTTTGACCAAGACGCTGGTGTATGACCGTGCCGGAGATCAGCATTATGATACGATATCCGCTTTTCACAAGTCCATTCGAGGGAGCAACCCAGATGCAGCCCTCTACTACCTTGCTCGCATGATTCAGTCCGGTGAAGACCCCCTGTATATTTCTCGACGACTGATTGTTGTCGCTTCCGAAGACATTGGCCTGGCGGACAACACTATGCTATCACTTGCTATATCCACACATTCGGCTGTTGAAAAAATCGGACTTCCAGAGGCCCGAATCAATCTGGCACACGCTACTGTGGCGATGGCGCTATCGAAAAAGAGTACTCGCGCGTACCGTGGATTGAATAACGTCTTTGCCGCCTTGAACGAGCCAGGAATCGCGGGCTTGCCCATTCCTGTTCATTTAAGGAATGCGCCAACGAAGCTGATGAAGGAGCTAGGCTATGGTGCGGAGTATAAGTACAATCCGAACTATGTCGACGGCAAGGTTCAACAGGATTACCTGCCCGAGCAACTCCTCGGTCGTACCTTCCTAGAGGACTTGGATTTAGGTACGCGGAGAGACAGTGATTTGGACAGTACCTCATATCAAAGAGATTGATTGTCTCCATTGTTTGCTCACATCTTTCTTCCCATACATCACATCTAGGCCTATTCACATGGCAGTACTCATACTCCTTCCGCCCCTGAACCCTGGAAACCATGTAAACCTTATACCTAGCGATGGGCTATACCGGATTTGGAATCGGCCTCATGGGCCTAGTCGTGCCTGCTTCACCTCAAGTGATGCCCTTGTGTCTCGCTATGATGTTCAAGGTTCTGCTAAGGTTCGGGTAAAGGTTTGGCCTTCCTAACGGTACTAGTCCGTTTTGAGTATTTTTGAAGCCCCCAAGTGCATCTCAAGTTCCATCTTTACTTCACGTCACTCATTCTCTCCCTTCGCAAAGGATCGACAACTTGTTGGTACAAGCATCAGTTTGCTGTTAGGCTCTGCCCTAAGCCCGTCCTTTCGCTCTCACTCTTTGCTCGAGGACTTTTCAGGGTGTCCATCATTACCTTTCCTATCGTTCACCCTTGAAACCGTGATGGCTCAAGCCGCTACACGGCATCAGCCGTCTCCATTGTCTCCACATCCAAATGGCGGGCGTAAATATGCGCCGTGTACACCACGTACACCGGATTCCATCTATCCTGTGAGTTCGATCCATCTCCCACCGCGTCCTCCTATGTCCCTGTGGTTTTCATTCTAAGCTTGCACATCTCGTGGATTCTTGATACTGATACCGACCTTTCAGTCTGCCATGTCTCCACTCGCATCAGCCACACTTTACTTTCCCGATCCCAATATCGAGCATACAATGTCACAGACATGGCAACTGTCGTCGACGGCCATGGCATATGAGACCCAGTCCATAGATCCAGACATACTCAAAATGCCCAACAAAGTCGACAATAGTCCGGTAAACATTCAACTCCAGATGTCTAGCAGCCAACCCCAGGGGCCAGATGTGCTTGGTGGTCCAGTTTCTTTCGATTCAATAATGACGCCTCCCATGATTGAAGACCAACCTCAGGGGCTGGATATGCCTGGCGGCCCAGATTGTTTTGATTCAATAATGACTCCTCCCACGATTCAAGACCAAGTACAAAGCTCCGTATCTCCTACAAGCTCGAATCCTCGACCCTCAACATGGCCTTCCAATGCCAATGATACCTCGCCACGCGTCTCGACTGAACATGAGCGTGCTCGGAGTGAACATGGTGTCGGTAGAACACAACCATTATCTGCGCTAGGACGTCCGCTATCTCCTCATCTCGAGGAAGCATATCCCGATGGCTTCGTCCCGTGGGATCCAGCGAACCCTGAGAAGTCTGATAAGATCCGCGAAAAGATTCCGCGTAACCGGGCCGAACTTCTGCAACAGAGAGAAGATACCGCCGCACTCAGGAAAGCTGGCGGCTCATGTATGGCGTGCTACCGGGCCAAGAAAAAGTGTGGAACAACTACACCATGTCCTCCATGCTCTTCTAAGGGTAATCGAATCTGCTTTCGAAGTTGGGGAGATCTATGTCTGCTTGGGCCACCTGCGGGGGGCTCTCTTACGATCTTTAGCTTCCCGTCCCCAGAGGCGAAAGATACTTTGCAACGCATGGGTGACGAGGTTTTCAAACGCATGAATGCATTCAACGCGGTTGTTAATATCCGCGAAACATATGGCGGAAACTGCACTGCATGGCATTGGACAGTCACGAGGTCCAGTATCGCACTATCTAGTACAACAGACTGCCCTGTCGATGATTTTCTTACTGGGCTTATCAGTGCCCTTCCCCTCGTGGATCTGGTCAAATTTGAAGATCAATACAAACACAACCCGCTCGTCTGGACTGCGCTCAGAATGGCAAATCTGTTTATGGGCATTCAAGGCTTGGTGCAAGCTCGAATCCGTTCGTCCTGGTTTGATGTTACCACCGGGCGACTCGTCTCGTTTTATCTTTTGATTCTCTCGTTTCGGAAGCTCGCAGAGATGTCTCAGGACTTTTGCCCTGGTTTGTACGTGGCTCTGTGCGGAAAGGACAAGCAGAACAGCAACAAGAAAAACCGACCAGGGAAAGAAAATGAGATCGAGCCCGCTTGGGTCGCTGCAGCATTATACTACCGAGTTACGTGCGGCTTGCAAGATCTTCAATACAGCCCAATCGTCGCGAGAATATTCGGTTCCTTTCGCCTTTATCTGAGTGGTGTTCGGGAAAAACTCGAAGATATCCTGCGCAATGTGTCCCCCAGACACGGGGCTACTGGGAAATCCTCCATCAGAACGATTCTTGAGGACGAAGTTCCCAGTCTCCCGTCGTCTCCAAGCCTGGATATGGCCTTCTGGCTGGGAGACCCCGAGGAAATGTCGTCTGTTTTGGGCCGGCCTGACGGTCCCTTTTCGCCGCCAGCCTGCGAAATGCAAGCCTTCCTAGCTGATCATTTCCCTCGACCTCGCTTTGCGAATCCTGATGAGCAGCACGACGGGCTCTTGCAGTTATCAGCGACTTCGCACGACACGGTGATTGCCCAGGAACAGAATTCCTTTGATAGCATAATTTATCCAGATCAAGTTGGAAGCCTGGATCCGAATGGTCTGATGGACATCCTCAACAGTGAATACGACAATGGATTCGATCCAATGGGTGCCGCCTTTGTTGATACAATGCCACCCGATACAATGCCACTTTATGGCAATTTCCAAAAATCTCTGTACAATTGTTGAAACCTCCGGCAACAGCAACATTCGCTCACCACTATTGTTTTTCTTAACAAGTTGTCCTTGGGAGGAACATACAGCACTCGTTTGAGGAAGTTTGAGGAACCACGTTAGGTGGTGGTTAAAGAGTTTTTATGGGTTGGCAGCTTGGGATATTGTGATTAGCACCAGGTTGTGCTGTGTCTAGAAGTTCGCTCACTCGCTCATCCTTCTAGCAATAATAAATTGAACCCAGAATTTCCAAGAAACAATAATATTTTCATTGACCACTACATCTGTAACAGAAGCAAAACAGCGCGTTGTCATTCCGCCCGCGTCTGGCGCGTCTCCAGAATCCTCCCACCGCCAAACACCTCATCTCTCCACGCATTCTCATGGGCTGCGAGCCCCTCCACTCAAATCAATGCTGAAGAACTGTTGATCCAGCCATCTAATTAAATCTGAACACGCCATCCACCATGGCCTCTGGCCAACCCTTCGCGTCGCGCTCCTACGCCGGCACGAAACTCCCAGAACGCTCCGTCAACACGAACGCGATGCCCTTCAGCGCCTCCTCATTCTCACGGCATCGCGGTCTGGGAAATACCAACCAAGGCGAATTTCCAGATGGCCAAAAGCAGATGCAGCAGTCCGCGCCCGCGCCCGCCACAAACGCCGTATCCCATGGCCCAGCGCAGGACGCGAATCCGCTGAACAGACTCACGGAAGAGCAGAGGGAAGAGATCAACGAAGCTGTAAGGGATACCCAATCCACCCATCTATGACACTACTGTTCTCCTAAATTACTGCAATATCCTGCAACCCCTCCCTCCTCCCTCTCACCTCCCTCCAAGAGTGAAAAGAAAAGAAACCAAACCACAACAACCAAACCCCATCCAAAACCCCCAGCTAACCCAAACCCCTCAAGTTCACCCTCTTCGACCTCGACCGCGATCGCCACCTCGACTACCACGAGCTCCGCGTCGCCTTCCGCGCTCTAGGCTTCACACTCGGCAAACAAGAGCTCATCTCCCTGCTAACAACGTACGGCGTACCCCGTCCCCAAGTCCAGCAACAACAAGGCGCCGCCGGCAACCAACACGCCCAATCCCAACCCCTCGCCTCCAACAAAGGGCCCGTCTCGAACCCGCAACATCCGTCCAATCTGCTCATGCCGCTCTCGTCGTTCCAGGCCGTCACGGCGTTGAAGATCCTCGAGCGGGACCCGCGCGACGAGATCCTGCGCGCGTTCGAGCTGTTCGATGAGGGCGGCAAGGGGTTCATTGACCTTGAGGATTTGAGGCGTGTTGCGAGGGAGTTGGGGGAGACTGGGCTTGAGGAGGAGGAGCTTAGAGCTATGATTGAGGAGTTTGATCTTGAGGGCGTTGGTGGTGTTACTCGGGAGGCTTTTGTTGGGATTTGTTGGCAATGAGTTGGATGTCTAAGGTCTTGTTTGGGGTTGAATCCTGTTAGATGGGTTCGGTTGCTCTCGGAGACTGAGACTTGACATGACTTGACTTTGTTTGTTGTACATGGGTTTTTTCCTTGGTGTTGGGATCTAAGTACTTTTCCTGTTCTCTTGTCGTTTTACTCATGTGCTTGTTTTTGGAGTCAGTGCCTCTGTGTTTATTCTGGGTCAAAATCGCACTTCAAATGGATATTTATTCCTCTACATCTACATGCTCTCTCGCAAGGTGAAAATTCGGTATCATTCATAGCCCAAAGGGCTTCGACATAATCTATTCACGAAAAATGCATCCAAATTCAAGAAGTACCCACAAGAAGGGAAAGCCCAAAACCCCAGATCGCAGATGATATTATCCATGCGAAAGGACTGATAATAACCACCTAGACAACCATCCGCGATGACGCCGATACCCAAATCCTCCAGATCAAATCCCAGAGGCCCGAATGCAAACAAGACAAGGTTCAATAAAACCCATAAACTGTAATATAACTAGAAGCAGAGTGGTGTGATCATGCGTATCGTGGCGGGGGACCAGGGGGAGGCATATTCTGATACCCGCCGTTTTGATACGGGACACCAGGCGGAGGGACATTCTGATACCCGGAATAACCAGGGGGAGGCATATTCTGATAGCCGGCATTCCGGTATCCATGCCACTGGTCCATAGGCGGGCGGGCAGTAGGCTGGGGCCCATTATAGCGGCGATAAGTGCCAGGGGGGATAGCCTTGCGGGCCTTACGCAGCTGTGCACTGCGCTTGCAACGACTATAGATACAGAAGAAGATAGCGAGCAGGAGGAACGTGCCGACACCGACACAGATGCCGATAACCAGCTTCTCGTGCTGCCGGATCCAGCCCAGGGCCGAGGAGCCCTTGCACTGGCCGGCGCTGCAGCGGCCGCCGGAGTCGCAGGGTGTACCGTCCAGATAGTTCTGGTTCATGATGAGGCAACTTGTGGCACCCATTGATTGTTGGGATGAGGGTGCGCCGCACACGAGACTGCAGGAGGGACTGCCTGTGTTATCGCAGGCCCAGGTGTCGTTGGTGTTCAGTACCGCGCCTGTTACTGTGCGGCACTGGTAGTCGCGGCTGGTGCATTGGCCGCTGGCGCAGCTGAGTCCCTGGTCCTTGGCGCCGCAGCTGGCACCGTCGTCTTTGTATTTGTTGGCGGGACAAGAGCTCGAGGTTCCGCTGCAGGTCTCGGCGATGTCGCATTCTCCGGTGCTGGCGCGGCAGACGGTGTCGGCGGAGGCGAACTGGCATTGATCGCAGCAGCTATCGTTGGAGTCATCGCACACGGCGCTGCCTTTAAATTTGCAGGTCTTGGGGTCACAGCAGGAGTTGTCGCTGCAGCTTTCTTCGTCGCCGCAGTCACACTCCTCGTCGCCTTCGACGATGCCGTTGCCGCATTGGCTGCCGCTGATGGTCACGACGCCGCGGTTGTCGGATAGACAAGAGGACTTGATGCTATTTTTGCCAATGGCAGAGCAGATGTTACCGATGGTACATTCCGAAAACTTGGTGATGGTGCTCTCAGCATAGGGGTTCATGATGTATTGCGCATTGGCATTGCAGGTTGACGAACTCAGCGGGCAGCATTGAGACGAGGCTTCCAGGTTATCCGCGCAGGTGCTCTCGTCGCAATCGTGCACTGCTCCAAAGGTGTGACCGGTTTCGTGGGCAAACACCTGCCAGGAAGAACCGGAATTGCGCACTACGACGTTGGCACCGGCCACGGAGTTCGCTCCAGAGGTAACCAGTTCGGACGAGCATAGACGACCCATCCATGAAACCCCAACCTCGGAGCCCGTTGGGCAGTTAGTCATCAGAGTCCAGTAGGCATTGTCATCTGAATGAGTTGCGCGCCACTTGGAGAATTCATTCAGGCGCCAGGTGACATTTCCGCCGTTGCAATCCACGTTCCATGGCGTAGCAGCGGAGCCCGAGCTAGAGCAGCCTGTCTCGGCGATTGTAAGGTTGCGCAAACCAATGGACACATTGAAAGATTCTTCATAGAGATTTGAAGCCGTGTTCACCACGTTGATAACCCAGTCCCTAGCCGCTTGTTCAGGTGTGGAGTTTGTAGCCATAAAGGATTCGGTGAATTCACAATCCGTAGCAACTCCGATCAAGGCCACTTTCTTCGTTTTGGGACATCCACTGGAATCACCGATGGTCGATTTCAGATTCACACCGCCAGTGTTTCCCGAGACACCACCAACATCGGACTGTCGCTTGCTTAATCCGAACATCGAGTTCAACGAAACCACACCCCATTGGCTGTCCATATCCCCGAAAATCGTATTGGACAGATCAGCATTGTATCCAAGGTTATTAGCGCCGCAGCCTTCAGATACGGGCAGCGACCGCTTGAGCTCGGAGTGCGTATAGCGAAACATGTCGGAGTCACGGTAGACGATCATCGATGGCCCATCTCTGGGTTCGACGTCGGCATCCATCGGGCGCTTTTTGTCGAGGTAGGTCGATTGCAGCTCAATGTGGTGCTTGTCGTCGTTGACACTAAAAGCGCCTTCAAATAAAGGCTCGAGGCCATCCCTTTGGACGGTGATTCTTGCCCAGCCTACGGGCGTCCATCTCCCCTTTCCGGATCCTACCAAGGCGCGCCCGCGGAAAACCTTGTGCTCGTCTCGCTTGATCGGCTCAGAATGTGTTATTGTGCCGTCGTTACGGACGTATTGCACATAAGCGTCGTCGGCCAAGATATCATTATTGGGCTCGAGTTCTAGCTTTATGCGCTTGCCGTCTTGGTGTAGGGCGAACGTGATATCAAAATGTGACAGGTGATCTATTTGATGTGAAGGAGTACGAATGATGGCATTGTCGACGGGCGTCACTCGGCGAATGGCGTTTGAGGCCTGTGATCGTGCTGGGGATTGTCAGCGGCTAGGCAACGGAGCTAGGCAACGGGCTGAGCAACGGGCTGAGCAACGGAGGCCTGGGCAACGACGGTCTGGGCTGCAAGTGGGGATTTACCTTGTGTTTGTTGAAAGAGCGATGACAGTGCACCGATCAAGGGCAGAATGGTAGAAAACCTCATCGCAAGATCCAGAATTCAGGGTCCTTCCCCGGTCTTTTCAATAGAGTTTCCGAGACCCTGAGTGGCAAGGGAAATTTTAAGGGTCCACCAGGGGTTTAGGGGTTCAAAAGGAATGTTTCAAGAGAGAAACCAAAATCAACGAAGGACTAGAAGTTCAAGAAACCAGAAAGTGAAGAAAGGAAAGGCAGAGGGATCAGATAATGCCGGGGCTGTACAGGGCTCACTGCCAAGGGCTTAGGAATCCTCGATCCAGTTGGCTTGGCAAAGTGGACTGAAACAATTTCGATGTGCCATTTTAATCTTCCAGATATTGCACGCATTGATAACTGGTTCCTGTGGTTCTGTGGAGAGAGAGAGTTATTTTTATTTCATCCAATCATATTGTCTCTTGCTTGCTTGGCAGGTTATAGCATCCATGGGTGATATTGAAGTGTGCGGAGTATACCATCATCGATATATATCCCAACACGTTAACGTCGAGACTCTTCAGTAAGTAACTAAGGAAACCAAGGTAACTATGTAATAGTCTTTCTCATAGTATGTACTGGTATAACGCGTAAGTGGCTTAAGCCAAGACGCTTGGAAGCCTATTGAAGAATTTCTGACACTTGGCATTAATTGGCATTTAAGGCTGCCGAATAATAGAGGGCTGTGATTCATGATCCCCATGATATATCTGATGTGCCAACTGGGCAAAGTGTGGGATTGACACCCCACATATAGGGCAATCCACACTCCAGGGTTCATCGTCATCCCAGCCATCGTCCGACTGTGACTCTATCTCAGGGGAATCGGGTAACTGCGGATTAGCAAACGAGGGCTCGGGTTCCTGCACAGTCCAATCCTTGAGTACTGTCTCCTGCTGTTGAAACATCTTCCCAATATCACGGCCACTGCTTCGCTTCTGGTCCCCCGCAGTCTCCACCATATTGGTAACCGCAACGTTCAACAAACTGAGATTCCAGCCAGCCTTTTCGGGATGTAACTTGCGAAACATAGGGAACACACTTTCCCGGACCAGCCGTACGGCTAATGCATCGATATTCTCATCCAAATTGAAGATAAAGGGTGGCAGGGGTGCTGAGCGAGAGATGCGATTGGAACTGTATGCACGCCTGGTACCTAAGTCTGCCGGAAGTCTTGGTCGGGTTGATAACCGTAGCGTGCGAGGATGAGCACGCCATCTCCCTTGAGGAGCAGTGTCATCACTCATATCAAGCAAATCGGTTCTTACGCGGCGGATCAGACTCCGGGACAACACTACGAGCTCTCGTCGGACACTCTCAAGCGTATCTAACCGCCCGTAAGAATCCTCGATGCTGATCTGCGTAGGCACATCGCGACCCTCGAGCACCTCGGAACTATCTACTCCGTGGAGAATGTTCCACATGCGCATCCCGATCCCTTTCACAGAGCCTGGCCCGCCGAGGATTCTCTCCAGTAAAGATGGGCTCATGCCAGAGAACTGGCGGACATCCTTGACTGTGATCTTCTCGCCGACGCTCTCTTTCCCTATGATATGGGATTTCAGTTTCTCGGCGATGCGAGAACCAATTCCGGGAATCTTCCGAATCTCGTGATCATCCAGGAACTGGAACACGTTGCTAGTATTATTCTCCGTCGCCGTATATGGCGGCAGAAGAGTCGTTTGGCCATTGGGCTTGTGGACATTACCGACCAACTTGGCTAGCAGTTTGGAGGTTGAGATTCCGCCCGTAGCCGTGAAGCCTATTTGATGCTCTATCTTACTCCGTATATGACCCTGTAAATGAGAGGCAACGAGCAACCTCATTTCCAACGAAGACGAATCGTTTTGAGCGGCTGCCTCCGTTGCGGGAAAGGTCGATCCCTGGAAGCGAGTGGCATCGTAGGAAAAACCAACGGTCGGGTCATTCCGATCAAGATGGAAATACGAATTCGTTAAATCATTTCGATTTAACACGCCAGCGTTGTAGTCAATCATTTCCGTAACATCGAGAAAAAGCTCGTCAAAGCCTAGCTTTTCGACACGGCCGCCCCAGACAAAGGAGCGAACCAGCAAATAAAGCTCCTTGGAAGCATTTCGGAACTTGGTCAAGTCTTCACCGAGAACTATTACCACATCGGGACAGATGCGCTTGGCATCTTTGATGAGCTGCAACTTGTGCAGACCCCGGCGTCGGGCTTCGTAGTTGCAGGTTACCACAATGTGCTTTTGCTGAACTGCCAAAGGAAGAGATCTCAATGCAGGTTGTTCCACTTCGAAGACCGAGGCATAGAAACAGTCATAATCCTGGATATGGGTTAGTCAAAGCGTGGCCAGTGGCAGTAAGAGTGGAGAGAGCTACCAAGTGGAGGATGATGCGATCGTCGTTCCGCACTAGTGCAGCCATGAACTCTGAGCTGATGTCGACGTGTCCATGGGACCTTGATTTGCGGGTGCCTGGCAACGATCGAACGCTGAAAACAGGAACCGCAGGCAACTTCACGATTGGGGCCTATTTGTGGCTGGTGTGGCGTCGGTGGCTTATCTTTATTGGCCTTGGTGCCTGGTAGTTCATGCACGAAGTAGTTACTAGTCAGTTATATTATTCTACTCCATTTTATTGGTTCTAAGCTGCTTTTCTTCATTTTAGATATCTATGCTCAATGAGATCCCGTGCTACCTCATCCTAGTCGACCAGTCCTTGCGCTTTCCTCCGGCATCGCACGAAAGTGGAAAATGCCAGGTAGAAGTCATCGACGCCATTGGGTGGAGCTGATGTTACCCTGCCCCCAGCAACAAGATAGAACTAGTCAATCCGGTGCAGTTGGATCGATTTCCCACCAATCATATCTCGAATACCTCTTCGACGCTTGCAGCCAGCGTCACGTGTAGTATACAACAGTGCCACTTTATATTAGGTATAATGTAGTCTGTATAGGCAAAGTAGAGGCAGACAAAGAATGATAAGACATGCAAAATGGCATTTCCACCTAAACCCACCATATTTAGGTCTTTGCCACCAGGCATATACCCGTATAGGTAGATCGGAGACCCACGGGCCCTGTTCTTTTTATAGACGAATGCGTTTTCTCTCTGATCCTGCTCCTGATCCTGTTTTTATTCAGGAAATACCTTAAAATACTCTATAAGATACTCTTGACATAAACAACAACATCTGCTATACTACCAAAATAGAAAAACCGAAATTAGTGTGGATGGTGGCGTCGATAGTTACGCATCCACTCGAGTCTGGAATTGCCATGGAAATCTCTGCTTTGCGCTGAACGGAGTACTTCGGAGTATATATGGGGTAATTCTCCATGGAGATGGTTTAAATACTCTGAATAAAGCACTTTGACGTTAATCTTAAATCTTTTTAAGTCGTGGAATGTGCAAGTGACATGCATCTTTCATCACATCCCAAGCGCCAACCTCCTCTATTCTTAGTTCAACCCCGCTAAACATCTTTCCTCTTCTTTTTTTCTTTCTTCTTGGGCTGAGATGACACACATTTGATTCTTCTCTACTTTTACCATGTCGTGTCTGTCTGAAGCGACGAGCACAATGACCTCCCGACCAAAACTCACCCTCCAAACCACCGCGCTCCCTCGCACATTCGGCACTTCAACGACCGGCCTATCATTTTCCTTCGCAACAGCACCAACTTCATCCCCCACTATTCGAAACACCTTCAAGAATGCCTACGAAGTTGCATCCCCATCTTCCGCACCCTCCCCCTCCAAATCCACGCGCTACAACAAACCGGCCTCTCCCTACATCCTACACCCGAACAATAATATCTTCAACCACCGCCCATATCAACTCCCCATCGGCGTGCGCAGCATTTTACGCAACTCCCCACTAGAACCCTCCGCCCGCCGACGATCAGGCTCCATCTCAGCAAGCGGAAATGGGCCCAACGGCGGCGGCTCACGTCGCGTCTTCTTCCCAGCAAAGAAACAAGTCAGCTACCGGTACCCACTGGAGGAGGAGATCCGGACAGAATGCTACACCGCGCAACACCTGGATCTCGTGACCGAGTCAGACGAGGCAGTGGGAACCGAGGCACTCGCCAGAACCAAAACCCCACCCGAGACAGGCCCCGCCCCCTTCCCGCACCTCGAAGGCGAAAAAGAGGACTCCGATAACAGCCCGTCCTTATCGGGGAGTGCCTCCGGCGATGAGACCAGTGCCGATGAAGGCGTGCGCGGGTCTTCGCTCTCCAAGACGGAGCGGAAAAAGCGCCGCACCATGCGTGCGGAGCGCCAGGTGCGAGCCGTCGCTTTGCTTGATGGCTTCGAGGCGGATGGCTCCTCGACGCCGCGCACGCCCAGGCAGGGCCGGGCCAAGCGTCGGAGGGAATGGAAATGGACTCTCGGGCCTGTCGATAGGGCCGAGATCAATGGCCCCGAGAATGTCTCATTATTGAACGCGGCTAAGGTTACCTCCGGCCCAGAGTCTCTCCGAGTATCCACCGACTTTGCGCCCGATTGTTAATTATGTGACGTTCATGGTTTTATGCCTGATGTCTTTTTTTGTCTGATGTCTCCTTTTATTTCCCCTGCATGATAATGGCGATGCATATAATTTCTCACGAATCATGTTGTATAGAGGCGCTGTTTGGGTTTGTCCGGTTTCTTTTGGCGCATCTGCGCCTCTTTTCTTCTTCACTGGCTATGGTTTTATCATTCTATCTTCTATGGATTATATCCTTTCGATGTATACTTTTCCCAATCTCATAAGGCACAAAATAAAACGAGGACAGAAAGCAGAGTTCACGAATTCAATTCTTGACCAAATCTGGAATTAAACTTTTATAAGGCATCACCGCCATTCTTAGGTTCATCTACATGGTAGTGAATGGTAGTCATAAGCGTTCAATAGTTAACTCGTGGGTGTTAAACAGTAAATAATAAATCTATATTCACATTTTATATGCAAATGCAAAGGACATACAAAACGCCGAAACATAAAACATCATACATCGTGTCAAGTCTCCGTCTCGACATCTGGCTCGCGACCAGTGAGACCACCAGCACCGATCTTCTTCTTCATCTTCCGGAACGCATACTTGGCCTCGTCTTTAGCAAAAGCAGCATTGCGCGCAGGCCGCCACTGCATCATACCACGCTGCTGTCGCTGCTCGCTGTGTTTATTCGCCTTGTTGATCTGGCGAGTACTCATATTGCTGTGTGACGCAGACGTCCCAGGTCCACTGCCACTGATGGTCGAGGGTCCTCTCGACAAGGGCTCGAGCTCGTCATTTGACTCCGAGGTGTCCTCGTTGTGGTGCTCTCCATATTGAGAACTGGATCGATGAGAAGATGGATCCTTGAGAGGCGGAGGGGTGTACGGGTCATGGGGCGGTTGGTCCCGGCCAGGCTCAGCGATTTTGCGTCCGAGGGAATCAGTGTACGCCCGCGGGTCTTGACCGAACGCTCCACTCCAGTCTTGGCCGTCGTGGTCAATCCACCGCTGACGCTCAGAGGGCGAGGCTTGCTTCAAGATGTCCCGTCCTTCGATCAGAGACTGCTCGTGCAATTCCTGCACTTCAGGAGGAACTTCGACCTCCACCGTGCTGGTACGGACACCCTGGGACACGCACGCTTCCCACGTCTCGAAGGTCTCACGGGAGTCGTTGTCAATCACGAAGAGCTCGTGTGATTCGTCAATGCCCGGTGAGAACTTGCATCGGAATTGCAGACGTCCCACCTCTGTCAAGTCTTCGAGTCCAGGTACCTGCTTGGCCTTCCAGTTCTCCTCCGTGACGTAATTCTGTGTCAAGCGAGCGCCCATCTTTGTTGTCCAGATGGGAATGTCAATGTCTGTTTCCTCGTTGTCGACAATATGTTGGAGCCACAGAATACCGTATGCGGCTGCGCCTCGCTTGCCCGGGTTGTGGAACTCGAATACTATCGGGGAGCGGTATCGGTACTTTACAGGCATGCGAATTGAGTCGCGGAAAGCGTCATCGGAGATATCGAATATCGCGTCATTGCCTTCCATGTGGCACTTGTGCCGGGTGATCTTGCCAACGCTGCCCCCGGTGCGCAGCTTGATCTTAGAGTGTCGACCAAAGTCCTTCGCGATGATGTTCTGTCCAGCAAATTCAAAGGTGCCGACATCCCAGCCAAGCATGCAAGGTGGCAGCTTGGTCTCCACATGGCGGAACAAAAGAGAAAGGCGGATACGTCCAAACCCAATACCACCGTCGAGAGGATACCAGCGGGTTACTTGTGAGCTGGTTTGAAGGATATCAGATAGCTTCAGAGGAACCACGCCAAGGATAGGGTCATGCTCGCGATAGCGTTGGTCACGGACGGTGATGGTCACAGCAGCTGAGCGCCAGTCGCGGACAAATCGCTCAGTTCCTGCGTTGAAGATGGGCTTGGAGCTCACAGCCTTCGCACGAGTGCGATAGATCTGATATACTGTTAGTATCTGGAATTTGAAGTGGACTAATATGTCTACAAATACGTACCAGTTGGTCGTTCAACAAAACCATGCAGTAACTCGTTGGGAGATCTTCACCTTCCTCCTCTGTGTTCTCACCATATGGCTTCGCTGGCTCATACTCTTTGCCCTTGCGGTTCCCATCACTGCCCTTGATATTGGCAAGCTGAAGGTTGACAATCTGGTGCACAACAATGTGCACAATACCGCTAGGCCAGATTGGATCGGGTGGTGTATGCATAATGGCATCCTCCTCTTCGTTTTTGATAGCCCCCTTTTCGTCTTCGAAAGTCGGATCGCCTCTGAGGTTTTCAGGAAGGTCTTTCTTCTGGCCATCAGTACGCAGCTCAGGGCGAAGCTTTGGTTTCCCGAAGTAGCCAACTTCCCAATGCAGCTCACCGGGCATTTCACTGCCCTGATCCATACCCTGGAGCTTCGAGACCTGGGGATACATCTGACTGGGATGCTGAAGCATCTCCCGGATAGGTAGCTCGACCTTGCCGACAATATCATCCGCGGTGTTGCGGTCAGAGTCCCAGAGCTCGATGCTCAGGTTTTCATTGGCCTTGATCAATTCCGGCGTCACAAGAAGGGCGGCAGTCTCTTCCCAAATCGGATTGAGGTCATCCGTAATCACACGTGTGCAATACATGGGCTTGCCATACTTTGAGAAGGACAGGTTGATGTATGGGTCGCTGCCGCCACCCTCGCTACCGCGAGCATCCTGTTTACTCAAGCCAACAGCGCGGTGAATCCGAATCCACATCACACCCAGTGCCAAAGTATCCTTGTGGATGTCATCTCCTGTCAACATCATGCCGAGATCCATGGTCATGGACTTGGGGGCTGCAAACATGCCACAAGCGGTACTAATGGCGGAGTTGACAAAGTTGGAGATCAACGGTAAGTTCAGAACATTCACACCCGTTCGGAACATTGGCATGCAGCCTGCTCGAACGTGGGGAATTCCAACTAAAGTGAACGTCACATCTTTCATGAATGGTGGTTCGGGCATCATTTGGAAGCGCAAGCGGACAGTCCCGACAAGTTCAATCAGCTCCACGAATACGGGAAATGGCACACCAAATAGGCCTCGAATGCCCAGATAGAATACAAGTTGCATGTGCATGTTGCGTGCTTTCGATGACGCACTGTGACCAGTTGGGCTTGCGTGATAGGCAAAGGAGGCTTCCATGTTGTAGTAACTCCCTCCTTCTTCGGCAGCAGCAGCTTCCTGTGGGTCCTTATTCTTTTTGTTTTCCTCGCGGATGTTTTCCTTCAAACCTTCCACATGATCATCGGGGAGAGCCCGCATGCTTAGAATCCGGAGTGGGTTGCTGCCCTGGTCAATTGCTGCGATGCGAACATTCTCTACAACCTTGGGTGCAGAGACTTGCATGATATCTTCGATTGTGTCGGCCACAGGTGTCAGCATTTCCGGGTTAACGAGCCCCCACACGACACCGAGGAAACTGTTCAACCACTCCACAGATTCAGGAAGGAGATTGGCAGTAGCCTTTTGAACTGTCAGTATCTCTATCCATCAACAAGGTGATACAATAGAGAACCTACCATCTGACCGCGAAGATGCTCACTCTCCCACTCCATTGCGCGACCGCTGCGAATGACTTCCTTCATCCATAACCATATTCCACTCGTAATGCATGCGGCTAAGGGAACAAGACCCCAAAGGGATCCCCCGCACATCCGCCCTAGTATGATTATGGCAACAGGTATCCCAATGCAAATGCCAGTGGTACGCTTCTGCAGTGCGTCAAACATAGGCTGATACGTGACAGTAGGCGTGGGGTGGAACAGAACGTTCGTCTTTTCTCCTCGAATGGGAACATCGGAGGTTGTACCCTCGGCGATAGGATCGGGAGGTGCGGTAATGTCCTGTATCTTTTTATACTCTGCAAGATCTTGGTCGGCACTTGTTTGGATGTCCTGATATGCATATTAGTGATATGTCCCATGAACTGACATTCACAGACAACTCACCGTGGGCTTCCCAAGATTCGCATTCGGAACCGTCAACTGCGAATAAATTAGACTCCGTTCAAGATTCCTTCGATATGATCCCACATACCATTGGATTATTTACAGTATCCATGCATGTCTCATCTAGGTCTTCCACGCCGATCTCCTTGCCCGTAGTTGGGTCTGTCACGGTACGAATCCTGGCCTGGGAGACTTCGCGTGGCTTATGAGCGACAGCACCTCCCTCGGCTTGATCCTTTTGATCTGCGTGCTCTGATTGCTCTCCATAGGTTCCTTGCGCTTTTTCATGTGCAATCCTTTCTTTATTAGCCCGGTGTTCTTCGTCTATCCTGAGATTGCGTTCCTTTTTTTCGTCTTCGACATGTTTCATAAAGTGACTTATTGTTGGAATAGGATTGGCACCACTCCAATGCTCCCCGACCCGGCGGCTCTTGGGAGCATCATGCTGATGACCTGTAGCCATCTTGGAGAGCGGCGGAAAAAAAGGAAACGAATCGAAGTTCAGGGTTTGGCTATTTGTAGGGTTGATTTGGCTTGACTGTACAATGCGGTAGAAGGAAGACGAGTACACCTTCTCAGGATTCCCCCGAGAATAAAATTGTTGAGCGAAGAGAACTTAAGAATTGTCCGGGATTTCAAGATCGACGGATGAAGGAAGCTTTCCCCAGAGCTACGTCATCGACAGGGAAATGAGGCTATGACGATATCACAACCATTCAACCTATCATTGATCCTGTATCATCTAGATTGCCAAGGTGCACACGCAAAGATCGCTATGACTTCCCCACATTTTAGGCCAATCTATGTAAGCATAGGGCTGGCCAGGAGATTGCTGTGTATCCCATCTCAGCGGAATCCCGGTCTTGGCGTTGACACCTTTCAGGTGAATTGGCAAAGCTGTCTATTCTCAATACAAAGTCAATGCATTTAATCTGACCTTCAATTGACTTTCTCTGCTAGATTGTTCTTTACTATAGAAGAATTGTGTAATATAGCATATGATGTCACCGACCATGAATAACTTGCATGTCCCATTTTTATACCGCCATACAACTTACAGCCCATTCGGTTATCCTGCTTATACCTGCATGTCGGACTACGCAGGAATTAGGCTGGCGAATGAAGTGTGCGGACACATGGAGGGTGTGTGATGAGGGTGCTGATAGCTACAAAGCTAAGAGTCGATCAAGCTAAGAGCTATCCGCGCTAGTCCTAGTTTCGAGACAACCAATGTGATTAAGTTAAAGATAGTTATGGATAGCCGAAACTTTGGTTGTATATTATTGTAGAGCAAGCCATTGGCATATGGGGAGTAACGATAGGTCCATTTCCAGTGACAGAATATTCGATTCAAGGAAAAGGGACGGCTAGACATATAAAGCCGCCGGGAGTATCCCGCAATGTTAAAAAAGGAGGCTTATTCTCAGGGTCGTCCCTGTATATATAGAGATCAATGTCTATCTCTATTTGACACCCTGGCAGATAGTCCACATCGAGGTCTCTAATTGGTCGGAAGTAATTGGATACATCGTTCCAAGGTTTGCCTATGGGGCTCGACCTCGGGAGGTCATGATTACCGACTGGCATTTATTGAAGATGCCTCATGGTGAACTCATTGATCGTATTCATCTTCTTATAAAAAGCACCTTGCAGTTCAGCAACCTTGACCTGTAGCCAACCCCTGAAATATGTGGTCAACACCAGATGATCCCAATCATCTATCATGCCTGTCCTGAATCCAGCCACCAGTGGGCCGTTGGCATCTCGGTACACCGACCAATGGCGCCGACCAATATCCAACCGGGATCGTGGGCCTGCCAATCACAGGTGTCATGCCTTTTGTCAAAACAAGTCTTGTTGCTAGCTATACTCCGGCCATCAATCCCACCGGCAGATATTTCACTGCGAAAGGAGGTTTTTGCTCCCGGTGCTTCCCTCAAGCTGGTTTGTGCGTCTCGGATTCGTCGCAGATTTTCTATTCTCGCTTAGGACTCTGCGCTGACCATGAACAGCGGGCCAAGTTGCAATGAGTGGAAGGCCATCTCGTCGATCTTCGCGATCTGAAAACCTTCCAACAGTCCCCCCAAATGATAAGGACCCTTTCAACTACACAAATGAGCTCGAGAGTGGAGAGGCCGTGACACCACGGGAGCCGATCGTCTTGGGGGCATATCGTCCCTGGAACAACCCTCGAGCCGCCGGGGAGCAGCCGATGAACGCTAAAGTGGCCATTCCTAGACTCGACCTTCCTCTTGTAGGCAATACTGGTCGAGTTAGTCAGGCATGCCACAACTGTCGCAAACAGAAGAACAAGTGTTCTGGTCATCGCCCCTCTTGCCTCCGATGTCAGGAGACCAACGTTCTCTGTGTCTATGTCGACGGGAAACGAGAGAGAAATGCTAGGTCTGTGATCCTCCTAGATGTGATCGCCCAAAATATTCACCCCTAGGACTTAGACAACTTACAGTGATAACGAGCCAACTCCAACACTACGAATCTCTCGTTCGCGAGCTTTATCCCAAATTATTCGACACTGAGCTGGGCAAAGTCATCGACCAAGCTCTCGAAAAAGCGAGTCTATATTCCGGTCAGCCAAAATCTTTCTTGATTTTATCTAACAACCTACAGATAGCTAGCCTTTCCCTGTCATCGCCGACCCTTGCCAAAGTACCAGATGAGTCAGATTCGTCGGCCCGAACGCTTCCCTACGTGGATCACACCTTGGAGGACTTTAATAGAGACATTTCCCTGCAAGCGATTGGCTTTACAGGAGAACATTCGGCATCGGCATGGTTATACAGGCTTAGGTGCTTGATCGGTCCGACAAGTTCCAATCCGGATGGTCAGTTCGAGGAATCAACCCCTCTTTCAATTTCTTCCTGTGCATTCTTTATCGATGATACAAGAATCTCGCCGATAAAGAAACTAGATGCTCTCGCATATCCCTCAAAAGCGGTCGCCGATGAACTTGTGGACAGGTACTTCCAAGTTGCCCACGCCTCCTTCCCCGTCGTTGGCAAAGAGATATTTTTAAGCCAGTGTCGGTCATTCTATTCAAAGTCCACAGCACATCCTGGAAACAAGTGGATGGCGTTGTTGAATATGGTTTTCGCGATCGCTGCAAGACATTTCGAGCTTTCCGGAGACCAATCTCAAGATCACAACATCCACGCGGTGTACTTTACACGTGCCTGGCAATTGCACACGAGCGAGAGTATCCGATTGGAGAATCCCAACCTGCAGCAGGCACAGGTAGAGGGGCTAATATCACTTTACTTGCTTTCCATCGGGCAGGCCAACAGGTAGGTCGAACACCGCGAGTCTTTACATAGCTACTGATTCTGGGTTAGGTCATGGAGAAAATGTGGGATTGCAATCCAGTCGGCGGTCGCGATGGGAATCCACCTTCGTAGCGAAAGCCCCAGCATCACACACGTGTCCAAAGAAACCAGATATCGGCTATGGTGGGCGTTATACCTGTTGGACATCCTGCTCTGCGTCGTGACTGGACGTATGCCCAGAATGCAGCAAGAACACTGTACAACCCCTTTGCCGGTGCCCTACAAGGAGGAAGACTTCCGGGATGAGCATGTAATGAGGCTTATTTTGGACATTCAATCCAGAAGCCGCCTCATGGCTTCTCTACTCTCCTTTGATCCCTCGACTGAACCGAACGACCCTTTAGCCCACTCGCCTTCTTCACCGTTCATGTCTCACCAGGCATCACCTGGCCTGCAGATTCAGGCTAACGTCTCATTGTACTTTCTTTATTCCATTGACTTGGCAGCTGTGATGAGAGAAGCAATCGAGATCTTGTATTCTCCCGAAGCGGGACGAAAATCTCGGAATGACACGGAAATGGCCATGTTATCGCTCAACAGAGCGGCTGACAACTGGTTTGCGCGCCTTCCTGGGACTTATAGTTTCGCGGAAATTAGAGACGACCGACCCTTTGTCCGTCAACGCACGAGTTTGGCTTTTCAATATTATTCGACCAAACTTGTCATTTCACAACCCGCGCTTCGTTGTGACGTCTTCTCCACTGGTCTTGACACGCCAATGGCAATGGTCTGCCTCAATGCGGCAGGCCAAATGCTTGATCTCCTACCCAATGAACCGAACATCTCCTGGCTCTTGGGTTGCTCACCTTGGTGGTGTTCTCTCCATTACCTCACGCAAAGCACTGTAGTGCTCACAACACAGTTGCTCATCCAGAACCAACCAAGAGCCAGTGAGAGAAATGAGGCATTGGAAAGGGTCCAAAAGGCTCTCCGGTGGTTGCATGAGTGCTCCACCAAGGATCCCTCTTACAAGCGGGCTTGGTGTAACTTCACAGAGCTGTTGTCATCCCAAGGATCGAAACTTTCAGAATAAGATCTCTCGGCCACCTGCCACCTGCCACCTGCTATACCCCAAATTTCTGTGGGTCCTTTTTTCCTTTGTTTACCTCCCGTATACAACAAGTACTACTGATTTCCGTTGTGATTACCCGGCGTCCCATTCCCCTATTTCGCATAGATATATATACACGAGAGTTCAAAGCCGCAAGGTAGAGTGCGATGTCTTATTCATTGGACATTGCAATATCACACCACCTTACATAGAGCGGATGTAAACCACCTAATTGGCGTATCCGGGTCGCAATGACCCTGGCAACGACCAACAAGGCAATATTCAAATATTACTTGCTGCAATTGCTTGAATATACGGTTCAAGGGTGGGTAACACGGTGCCACGAAACGGATTGACCCGGTTCAGGAGGATACGTAATGGTAGTTGCCACCTGGATGTTGAGATATAGTTCCTCGGTCAGGTTAGAACCATGCAATGACGTCAGTGTTCTTGGCGCATCAGGTATATATAGCTAAGCTGGTCATCGACAGCTGTATCCTAAGCAGCCTCTCAAATATCTATACAAATTACACATGCTCGAATAACATGGGTTCGAAATATATTGTAAATACCCTTCTCCTTTTCTCATAGTCACATGATCCCTACTAACGAATAAGGTAACCTTCCTAGACTCAGCTGCGACTGAGGATATCAATGCCTGCATGGACCAGGTCCACAAAGACGGGGGAGTTGTCATAGACATATTCCCAGACATGATCGCTAGGGGCTTTTCGTACGTACCTTGTCCATTGAGTATTTTCCACGGAGATTCAACGGAATTTCTTACTGATCTCTGTTCCAGAGCATATATAACCGACTCGGTCCTTCATAGACTTGAGTTAGACTCTATTATTGATCATATAGCGCCCGATGCTTCTTAAATCAGTCACTTGTCATCTTCTTTATGATACCTGTAGACCTAGCATTCTTTCCCTGAACTTTTTGGACGATGTAAAGTTATGCGTCGAGCTAGAGGAAGATAGGCGTGAATAGACTTCGAAAATTCGATGACATTAGCCATAGTTAACTACGTACACCTGATCCATGGAACCGTCCTAAAACCATAATTACTAAGACGGTAATTAGAGCGGTGAGCCAAAAAGACCCATTGTCGATTCGTCGCCCTACCCTTCAGTCTCCCCCTCAGTCTACCGACTGCCTGATGTTGAGCGATGATGAAGACATTTGAGATTCCGTTCTATGCAACTGACTTGCCTTACCCGCGACCCACCGGTACCGAAATCGAAAACGCCCCTGGCATACCCATGGAATATGGAGGACGAAAAATAGTCGGAGTAGGCCCGCATTTTATTGTGAAATTTGGACTGGGTGTCAATCTCATGGAAGGAGAAAATATGTTATTTGTTCGGGAGAAAATAAATATCCCTGTCCCACGTGTCTTCGCCCTCTATTCAGACCTAGAGACAGGCAAAAATTTTATTGTCATAGAGCGTATTCTCGGTCAAACACCTCTTTTAGCATGGCCGTAACTTACAATACTGGAGAAAGAAGAAATACTAAAAGACCTTTGGAGTTACTTTGACGACTTGCGTCAGCTTCTATCCCTAAAGTACTTTGGCAGTTTCGACCAAAGACGACTTTTAGATGAGATATTTTGGACATATAAGCCAGATCCATTAGTGAATGGTCCATTCGACTCCGAAGAAGACCTTAACGAAGCAATGTTACGAAAATATACCTATAACAGGGGCCCACTCTACAGAGCGGAATATCTTCGAAGATGCTTCCCTTTTATTTTTAAAGGCCATACAGCGACATTCACCCACGGTGATTTGCAGAGGAAAAATATCATCCTCCGCGAGAAAAGTCATGACCAAGAAGGTTCACACCTCGTGATAATTGACTGGGAAAAATCCGGATGGTATCCTAGGTATTAGGAATATTGCTTAGCTGTGGGTGCTTTGCGATGGGATGACGACTGGCCCCTTTGTATTGACAGTATCCTTTCGCCGTTTGTCTCTCAGGCTTCATGGCTTCAGTCACTGCGCCTAGAATTATGGTCATAGAGGTTGAATAGACACAAATCTTCATACGTAACACTCTTGCTTCCCTCTTCTTCCAATAAGTTAGGCTAGCATTATTTCCTTGGCTGCCAAACGGCGTCCTCTCCTTCCGTGTGGAAATTCATCAGCAACAGCTCGCCCTCATTTCATCTATTATACCTGGGTGTCGTTTTGGGCTGTCAAAACCTCAATGACATTTCTCTATGTCGGTCTCCAGGTAACTGCCCGTTCTTTGAACTCAATAACTTTCCTCTCATATCTTCTAAAGGATTCCTACCCGACATCCGATCAAGAGTAGAATGAAGATGATTCCTCGGGTGTGAGTGAACTTTATATCGCTTGTGAACGGTACTCGCCTAGTAATGAACACCGACATTAGCTCACCGGACTGCTCTTTCTCCAACACGGAGATAAACTATTGACTATAAATAAATAATTGAGGGGCGAATCAAAGTGACCTGGCAGACCAACATATCTAATAAAAACTGGACTGTCCAAGGCACGTCGAATGATTCTAAGGATACTTCTTTCTATAGGAACAACACAAAATGTGGCCTGCCAAAACACCAAATTGAGGAAAAAGAATACAAGACTTGCATTCGGCACAATCCGCTCGACTTACACGCGTTCGTCATAATCCCATATCCAAATAATCCCAATTAACATCATAATCAGCCAAAAACGGAGCCTGAAACGTGAACTCAGAGTTAAGAGCCCAAAACTCGGTAGGCGGATCAAAGCTCAAGTTAGAATCCGCCCATTGGGTTGTTTCCACAACATTTCCATTTGGATAACCGGGGTCCGGCATCGTGTCCATCCATGAAGATGATGGGTAGTATTGCCCAGGCGCGGTATTGGGCAAAGTTGGTGGCGGTTTAACAGCAATAGCAATATGTCTAGATGATTGAGCGCTCATGGAACGACGTTCGAGGTATATTGTGCCGAAATAGGGAATATCGAGCTTGATGCGAGTAGGCCGTCCATTCTCGTATTGGTGTCCTTCTGATTCGTCCAGTTGCGGGGGTTCGGTTCCCATCCCTATTGCCTTGATGATTTTCAGAACGTGTACTGCTCGAGTTGCGATCTTGTCCGGAGGAACAGTATTCGATAGTTGTTCTAGAACAGCCACAACCCGGTCGAGAGCGAAGTAATCTCCTTTGGTTAAGTCCTGTGGGCCAAATGGCCCGAGGGCATTGACAATAATTGTCATCGCCGTAGTGAAGGCTTGGAAATCAAGAATCTTCGAGTCAAATCCGTTTTCAGTGGTGCGTCGGATATTGACATAACAAGCGATGATGCTGCGGCAGGCGTGGAGACAGGTCTGGCGATTATACTCATAGGAGTTGTCAGTACCGGACGCTAGTAAAAGAGGCAGGTGTAACCAAGCCATGAGCTGGTAGTACCATAATCGATAGTGAAGCCCGAGAAAACAAGAAGACCGCTCGGTACACTTGCCTGGCGGAAGATTGTCGGGTGACACCAAAGGAGGGGGATCGAACGCTTGAAGTTTCATATCGATGCTTTGTGTCATCTGCAGCATGGCCGGAGTGACTTCGGTGAAGGTCTGATTGCGCTCAATGATTGAGCCTGCTATCCGAGCAAGCGGGTTCAGAACAGATTCATTGTGAACGGGTAAATCATGGGAGTCTCTTGGGTTGGATTGATATAGATCTATTGCCGTATTGGATATAGCGCCGTGTACCCCAAGGATCAGGGAAAAATGCCTGTCAACGATAAGGATGTGTCTCCAGATGAACGTAGCCCGGTGTTGAAACTCGACACTCTGATTGGGAGCTGGTTCAGCACGGTGGAACCCGATGAGCTGGGCGATGTTTGCAGCCCGACGATAAGAAAGCCACGCACTTCGTAGCTTTCCGTCATTGCTAAAGATCAACCCCTGTAGGACTAAGCACTCAAGCCCGTCGATACAACTAACAATAGAGTCATCGGAGCAAACGAGCGTGGAAACACGGGTGATGCATTCTTCAACCAGGACCCATGGGAGGCAGGGCAGATCAAGAGAGGACAAATCAAACCCCGAAGGGAGTTGTTGGAGACACAGTGCAATCCACAAGATGGCCTTAGCAACCATAGCTGGGTGGCTATTTGAAAGCTGTTGCTCCGAGGACGAAAGCAATGATTCATCGTAGTCTCCGAATAACTGCACGCGCATAAGCCACCAGCTACTGCTAGCCTCCGATATGATTTTCAATGTCTTTTGAGATGGTATCAATGCTGTCAGATCGCGGCGCAGTCTCCCCCAGTCCCGATTAATTGTGCCATATGGCGTAAAATCGGACTCAACGGTGTCGGTTCGTTTGAAACCTATCTATTCACTAGTAAGCGGGAGCTACCGGGAATTGAAGACCGATGCGAGTTATCGCACGAACCGCTTCGTTGTCAAAAAGAGACAAGACTGGAGCACTGTCCGGGGCTGGTGTCACGGTCGAGGGGCTCGATTCGAGGCTGGTTTCGGCTAAATCTAAAGGTGATTTCAAGTCCCCCTGTTGACTGTTCCCACCGTCGACTCGTATCAGAAGCTTCTCCAACAGGTTTTCCACCCGAGCCATCCGCTCGTTCAGATATGTGCGGTCCGATTCGCGGGGATTCTCAGGCTCCGGCAATTCCTGGCTGCGACATGGAAGTCCCCGGGCGAGACATTCTTTGCAGCTCTGTTCGCTATCAGACACAAAAATACAACGAACTTTGCGATGTTTGCCTATCGCAGAAAACAACCGTTAGGAATAAATCATCCGTATCAAGGGGTTCTTGTACATTGCCAGCAACTGCGGGTCCCTTTTCGGATCTTCTTCCGAGGCTGATCCCCGGGTCTCTCGGGCCGCGCATGTGGATCGTGGATCGAGTGCATCTGAAGGGAAAGGGTCTGACTATTCACGTAAAACACCAGTGGTAAGAATATGAATTGAAATATCTCACACAAGTTAGGCAGTCAAGGTCTGGGAAAATCGGGTGGCGACACGTCGAACAAAGCCCCCAACCCTGATCGAGTTGGCGCGGTCTGACCGCCTACTCACCGACAATCGTGAGATGCAGGCAATGCATCTTACTGTCTTCATCTTCATTCCCTTTCGCAATTCACAGGAAAGAAAGGTCTGGTACAGCCATGACGCCATCGCCTTGAACTGCAATCCAGGGGGTATCTTCAAAGCGAAGCCCGTGATTGGCTCAACGTGGAATTCTCCAGGCACAATGCTTATGCTCACGTCGGGGAGTTCGGCCTGGAATGACAAGTTGTTAGATAGAATGCAAAGATTGTAAAAGCCGCCTCACCTTCATCTTCTCGGCCATCTGCCTAATCGGATCCAACAGGACTTCGTCTCCTCCGGCGCCAACAAAGATTTTTGAAACAGGAAGATCTGTCCACCAGCCTGCGGGGGCTTTGGCAGGGCAGTTGTACTCATCTTCCGCCGTCTGGCCCAGAGATATCCGTGCCCAGCTATTCAAAGTCTCAGCCGTAATGACGTCTTTATCCGCGTTTTCACTGGAGCTCGGATGATCAGTTCTGAAGTCAACCCAAGGGGACAACAACATCGCTCCTCCGAGAGGCTCATCAACCGAAAATCTCGGCACGATCTCTTGAGGATGTGGGTGAGTGAGATGTGATAGTAGCCCACGTGCAAGATGAGCGCTCGCAGAAGATGAGCGCCCGCAGAGTCACCCTGAAGAATAATGTTTGACGGTCGTTTTCCCAGTGTCTGGATGGCGCACTGTAGCACGATAACGGCCTGTTGCAATTGTCGGGGGCAAGCTCATAGACAATGAGTAGTACACCGATGCTTTTTCCGTATTGTCTTATGTCCGCGAAGAGAGCTTCGAGATAGCTGAAGTGACTCGGTAGTGCGGGGAGGCAGTAGCCGCTACCGGGAAAGTAGATAATCAACTTCTCAGAAGCAACGTTACCAAGCTGAAATGCCATTGTACCTTCGGGAAGAGCGAGTATGTTGGGGGAGGCATTTAGTTGTCTCATGTGGGCTTCGTAACTTTTCTGAGCTAGAGCCGGGGGGGGGGGGGGGGGGGGAAAAACCCCACACCTGCGTGATGATATTGTTTTGTTTGACCCCCCGGGGGCGTAGAACTAT